GTCAGAAACGAATGGAAAACTAGTAGTTTTCCGTGTACTAAAGATTAGTACAGTACGGTAATATAAAAAAATAGATTATCTGACTCCATCGATTCTGTTTAGAATATTTTTATATATATATTAATTAATTCAATTTAAGCAATAAACAAGATAGAAAAAAGGGTAGAAATTTAAAATTAATGGGAGATAGATTGTGAGGAACAAAGCCTAAAGAACATAGACCTAACAATTGTGCAGATCACAATTGGCTATTTTAATTTACATTTTTAAAATAAATAGCAAAATTCTAAAGATGCACAAGAGATAAATTTGGATGAACAAAGTCTATCAGAAAAAATGGGATGCGGAGAGATGCGGAGCAATAAGAAGCTGAGGAGGTAAGAAATTTAGTTTAAAAAAATGTTAAAATATAAATTTTAAAACGATATTGTTACTAAACGAGTGATATTATAAGGAAAGACATAAAAATGGTTTAAAATAATAAAAACAGAGAAGATACATTGCAAGCGTAAGATGCGATCTACTTGTTGAGGAACAAAATATATGCATTATTAAACTAAGAATTTCAATTCAATAAAATTGAACGTTGTAACGTGTAACTTGAAGTTGTAAAAAACACATCATTTTTAGAAAAAATTTATATTAAATTCTGAACTGACCTCTCTTTTACGCTTTTTATCAGTTGAAAAATGCGCTTCAATCGTTGTGGCTGAAGAACTTTGAATACTACCTTCTCACCATCTTCTTTGATATTGATTTTATATCCAAAAGTAGTTTGAAACCAATTTTGCCAACTTAACTATAATGCCAATGGATAGGAATATAAATTATCTCTTAATTTCAATTATTTTTTTAAAAGCGATATAGAAAATTAGAATAAAAAAGCTAAATTACTCCAGGAAATTCTTCTTCCATCTTGCTTAAAGTTATATCTTCTTTAGTAGAATCGAGAACTTGTTTAGTGATCTATCGATAATTAAATATATTTAATTTCTGCATACTCAAAAAAAAATTAAATTTTTAAAAGTAATTTTAAAGTTATTTAAAGGATTAAATTATTTAAATTTGATAATATTTAACCTCTTTCATATTATCTTCGTTCAGTCCCGTGTCATTAAAGTATTGATATTTGTAGCAGTTCCTCCTCTCACGATACTCATCCAGGAAGTAATCAGATACATTACCATTAAATTCACTATCAAGTATATCTTTAATATACGATAATTAATATGCTACATTAATCAGTCATCATTTATTAAATATAATGACATACCTTGAATGCTAAATATCGAGTAGATAGCTTGAGCAGTTAAAGTCCCAATACTACTATATTTAGCAAATCTAATTGNAAAAGCTAAATTACTCCAGGAAATTCTTCTTCCATCTTGCTTAAAGTTATATCTTCTTTAGTAGAATCGAGAACTTGTTTAGTGATCTATCGATAATTAAATATATTTAATTTCTGCATACTCAAAAAAAAATTAAATTTTTAAAAGTAATTTTAAAGAAAACTCTACATTAGCCAAACTAGTTTCGAAATCTATGAGATCCGCAGCATCTTTTCTAGCAGCATCGGGCTGAACACCCATCTGCACCAAGGAGTTGAATATGAATTTGTGATAGATGCTCTTCTCGTCCATTTGCAATGATGGATTAGTTATGGATGAATTAAAATAATAATCTTCTTTCAACTGAGTCATCTTTTCATCCGACTGTAATGATAAATCTTAAGAAAATTGAAATTTTAAGCCATGCAATGTGGATGATAAAATCACTTACAGGGTATAGAGATATTACAATTTCTGAGGATTGGTTTCCGATTGTCGTTTCAAAGAACGGATTCCTTCCGTGAGCTGATAGAACACCTAATTTTACATTAAAATTCGGATTTCTTCCAGGATCGGATATGGGCCAATCACCCAAACCCGAATTTCTAATTAACTTTACTACTTCATCACGTGTACTATCGAATCCTGTAAAGTTTATAATTGTAGAATTAGGTTAAGTACAGTATATTTGTGCGTATAACCCGCAAAGAATTGGTAGAACGAAAATAAAATCTTTGCATAACCCGCACACACGCACACCTACGAGAGATATATTTATTTCATAGGCGGGTGATTTTGAACCGGAATATTGCCCGCCCTATCGCATAACCCGCAGCCATTTTAAAGTGCATTTCAAATACATATAACTTGAGGGTTATACACACAAAAATATGGATAGTCGACAATTTTATCGCTTGTAAAATTGTACTTTTAGCCTTACTTTTATTGATACAGGAATAATAAAATTTCTTCGCTAGTTTCAAATTAGGATCTTCAGTCTCTTCGGGAGTTTCAAGTAGATCTAAAAAGTTAATAAATTTAAGTGTTTATTAGCTAAATTAGTTACTATTACGCAAAATTTCTTTTTAGAAAATGTTAAAATTAAACACGAAACTTACTTTTTATAGAAAGAAAAATGCCATCCTGAATATCATCCAAGGAATTATGAAGACTATTCTCGTCTCGTAGACTGTGATGATTTTTGTACGAACCACAAGCAAATTGATAAAAATCTTGACAGGGTTTAGACGTTAAATCGAGGTTATCGTATAGAAAAGCGGCTATAATAACATAAAAACATAATCAAAATTCCTTTCTTATCGTCAAAAAATTCTTCTAAAATCGAGTACTTACTTTGCTTTATGCACGCTTGACTCGTACAGACTTTTGGTGTTTTATTTCTGTTATCTACTGAAAAATATATATAAATTTTATAAATTTAATTAAAAAATCTCATAATTATTTATAATGAAAACTTACATAATGAATGAAGACTGACAATTATTATGATAATGAGAATTAAGAACAATGCTGCTACAGCTACTAACAGGATCTTCTCCAATAGACTTCTTCTAGTCCATATCGTGAAATTTCTAAAATTTATTAAATAAAAATTATTTAAAAGAATTAAAATGTAGACTTTTCTTTAAAATAACGTGTTTAAAATCCGAAAATACTAGTATTTTATCGGAATATTTCGAACAATTCCGTAACAAGGTCATTTTCTAGTTTGATAATTAACATTAATGGAGTAAGTAGATACGATGTAGAATCGTAATATTGGCCAATGTAAATCCATAAATTACATTTTGTAAGAAATTTGAGTGTAGAAACTCATTTAACAGAGAGCACACGTGGGGTTTTTTAGTATCTTTAATTAATGAAGTACTTAACAAGTTCACCAGCTGTTTAAATTGGAAGTAATTAAAACTCTCTACAGTAAAGACGTATTAAAAAAACATATAAATAAATATTATTTAGTTTACTTTAATTATGTTTAAGGTAGATAACGTTAAGAATAATTTATTAACAGTAAATTTCGTTAAGAATTATCTTCGATACGACCCTAACCTGAGTGTCAGGGTCAAAATATTGGCAACGTGATGTGGGTTAATTAGTGCAAGGACTAAGATATCCTTTATATGGAGTAAAGGGAAATTTATAGATTTAATTATGCTTTTTTTATATAAAATAATTGCAGTAATTAATGATATAAACTGTCTTTTATTATCTAACATTAAAAAAAATTAAATTTTTCTAGTGTTAAAGCATTAAAAAATGAATTTTTATTTTTGTGTTAACTTCGCAAGAATATTGCTCTTTATTTATTAAAATAAATGTATTTTTAAAATAAATTATAATTAAAATAAATTGTTCTTGAGATTTTAAGTTAGTTTGTAATTAAATATTTAAAACAAACTCGACTAGAATGATTTTAAGTCGTAAGAATGTAAGCCAGAACACAACTAGTGAGCGTGTAATTAAAATTACTATGGAGAATGTACAGTAGCTTCGAGTTTAGTGTTGAATTTGTACGTAAAATATAAAAGCTAACTCTAACATAATTTATATACAGGATGGCCCAAAAGTCGTTTAACCATTCCATAATTGAATTACAATTAATTAGCGTATTTTTATTACGTTTCCTCGTTGTTCTAAACTCACTTTATGTGTACCTGGAACACAGATAGAGTGCTTATTGTACAGTACAGTACCTGTCGTTCTTTCTCTAAAGATGTCATACCACACACTACACAAAAAGCCTGGGCACATTACAATTGAATAGAAACACATACATCATAATACAGAAAGCCATTATATTGAATACATGCCATATTGTTAGGAAATTCTTGAATACAGACACACACACTGACACATTTATTAAATTTTTGGTTACTATGTCTTGATTCTGGTCTCGCATAGCACACAGCTACCGGTGTCAACCGAGTATAACCCACTACACCCAGCACAATAATAATTTTTTGTGTATAAAATTATATAAAATAAAAGAAAAAAAATAATTTATTAAACCCAAAGTTCTATTTATTCGATATTTTATTGATAGTAAAAGTATTCGAAGTGAATGAAAATGATGTGTGAGAATTTGATAAAGTTTAATTGATCATTTAGTTGAGTTTTTGTTAAAGATAATTTAAAAATTATCTTCAAGGTTAAGACAAGAAAAAATTATCCTTCGTTACTTCTACGGAAATAGTTTTTTCCTCTTATTTTAATCCTCTAAGAACACTCTCTAAGAGCACAAACCTGTAAGAACATCCTCTAAAAACACTTTCTAAGAACAAAGATCCTGTAAGAACACGTGTTCTTAGAAGGTTTGTGATGTTATTTATAACAATAAAAATGCTTGTAATTAGCATTGTTATTCACTAAAACTGCTATAACAATAACGCACTGAATATGCTGCTACAGCGAACGATACAGTGCTACTGTTATGTTAACAATATTCTGATCGTATTATGACAGTAACAATGAGAAAATGTATACATTTTTTAAGCTGAAAGTTCTTACGTACAGCAACATCATACTTATACTCAACACAATAATTTGTCTTGTTTAATGTTAATTACTGTATACCGATCGTAAGTAACTTCGTTACGTTTAACATCTATTGACTATGTATAAGTTAGTTTTTTTTTATAATAGCATTAATTGAGTTATGTAAATTATACAATGAAGCACCAGTTGTCTTTAGTTTAAGCTAGAATATAATTAAAGGATGCTTCTGTTTTTGACTTTTTAACGAAAACCCATACGATAATAAATTTTTAAAGAATTTTCCAACGTCAAAGCCAATTTTCATGTTTTTAAATGGTCAAAAAATCAGTTAACCGTGCTTAGAACATCATTTTTTTTTAATTTCTCTCACAAAATCGGTGCAAACGTAACTCAGAAAATACGCTTGAATTTAATTTAGGTAATTAATTGAAGTGTGGGCTTAATAGTTGTTAACGTGAGACGATCGGTATAGGAACCAAACAACTGTCTTCGCTAATCATTACACGGTATTCATATTTTGGTACTGTATATTATATTATTAGAGTAATCAAAATGTTGCCAGAAATATGGGTTTGATTTCCATCTGGAGCGAGAATGAATCAGATATATTTGCAATGACATAAAATAAACGATTTGCATTATTTTCAGAATGCTAATTCTACATTTGGATTTACTACATACTATAATAAGAGCACTTTCCTACAACATATAAGAGACCCTTCCTCCTTCAGTAAATAATAATGGGCAATATGTATAAAATGTCTTTGAGAATAGATCGAGGCTCTTGTAATATAAAGCCCTAAACTGTAACTTGTTTACCTTAAATATAATTACGGTTCGGTTATTAATTATTTAAAAATTTTTGATAGGAATTAATTAAAACCGTTAAAAACTTATAAATATTCTTTTATTTTAATACGATTAAATAATTTACCCCGGAAAACGTAAATACAGTAAATAAATCTTTTTTCCTCCGATTTAATTGGTATTTTTAAATTTAAATCTTCAAATCAAATACCTCAATTGTTTAAAAGTTCGTTATTTTTAACAATAAATAAAATTTCCGTTACGTCAAAAAGAAATATACATACTTTTCCTTTACTCTAATACGTTGATTTAAATTTAAACTTACCAATAAACAATTATTACAGCAAAATGTACGTTTTTTTTCATACACGATATTATTTTTAAAAGCCTTAACTTATTCTATAGAATAAATAAATGAATAAAGGAATAATACCTTTTCTTTACTTCTTTCTCTCCTCCGTTATACTTAGTTTTCTCCATATCGAGCATTTAATTATAAAATTAAGGGGAAAAAAGTAAATGCAAATAGTTGTACAATTCTTGTCACACTAACTAAAATCTGAAGAGGAAAGAATTATATCGAGGAAGTTAACCTGATGACTGAGGATGTTGCGATGATTACCGAAGTCACAACTTCGATTCTCTAAGTCCATCCGTCCGTTCACACTACGTAATGATACTTAGCGCGTCACTGCGCATATACTGCATCACATGGAGGTTTGTTCGACTTAAATTACTTACAAAGAATGAAAATTCATTGGTTAATCGCCATTTATTCATATACTTTTTACAAGGTGTAATAACCCATTTAGATCTCATTCTAGTCAATTATAATCTAAAATAAGCTTTAAAAAACCATCAGATTTGATTAATAATTGATTAAAAATAGTTATATTTGTATTTTAAAATATCAAAATTAATGTCCTACACGTGTGTATATATATATATATAGCATAATTTATAGCATAAATTTATGGTTTAAATGCTTAATTTATTTCGTTAATAAGTAGATTTGTATAATTAATGTTAAAATAAGTATATATCATTATTAATTCTGGGAATTTTGTGTAAAAATTTTTAACTTGTGACCTATAAACTTAATAGCCAATTTAATTAACTTTTTTTATAAACACAGTAACATCATTCTTCCAAGTTTGTTAGATTGATAAAGAATGAAATATGTTTTCCAAACTATCGATATCTTTAACTCATTACATGTTATTTTTGGTTAGATATTCGGTTTTAAATGGTTATCAGTAAAGATTTTTTCCTTGAAAACTTACAAATCTTCATTAAAAGATTCAAAAAAATCTACGATAATTAAAGATCTAATAGTGGATAACGTATATTTTGACTTGTTTGACGTTTCTTCTTAAATTTAATATCCGAGATATTCAATATATAAAGTCTAATGTAAAATTATGTTGTATACACATGCACGTTGTGTAACAACATAAACAGATCCACAAGTAAATTTTAAAGGCAATTATCCATTTAAAAATGCCAGACAATCAAAGATAATATTGTGAGAACCGAAATGTTTATCCAGATGCCATCAATCATGATTACTTCACGTCATTCATTCTCTTAGTATTAGATAATATCGTTAATAAACAAATAGAATTTTTAAATTAATTCTTTATTTTTTTATAAAAATATATATATACAAATCTTTTAAAAGTTCGTTATTTTAAACAATAAATAAAACCTCTGTTACGTCAAGAAAAGAAATATACATATTTTTCTCTAATTTGTTAATTCAAATTTAAATCAACCAATAATTAATTATTACAACAAAAACGTTTGTTTTACTTCTCTCTAATTTGTTAATTTAAATTTAAATTAACCAATAAAATTCGTATTATTCTTCAGTACGTATCATTATTATTATTTTTTTAAATTTATTTTTTAGCGCGTTATTTTATTGTTCCAATTACAAATAATATTTTAACTGCTGACACTTTAAACACGTGGAAAATAGCTGGATGCAGGAAACGATAGTAAACACAACTATGTGGAACACAATTTAATTTGATTAAGTCCTCTCTTTTATTTTATTTATACTATAATAATAGCTATCATTAAAGTAAAAAGCTTCAACATAAAATTAAATCGAGTAATAAAAAATATTCACTTTAAAGTATTCAATATAGTCTATATATATATTTTATAAATTTAATTAAAAGTTTTGAAGCTTAATTAATTTAAAAAATTTAGAATTTTTCTATTATATAAAATATATTATTTTAAAGTTTATAATTTGGTATTTTCAATTAATGATAGAATTTTACTTTAAAGTGGATAGATAATGAATTAAAATTACAGTATCGGCCCAAAATTCAGTTAACTCGAACCGCTTCAATAAAATCACGAATTCAAAACCTCTCTATTTAAAAAAATATTTCTTCTGTTAACTGACTATTGGGCCAGCTTGTAAATTAAATAAAATTTAAAAATATTTTTTAATGTTTATATACTTGTACCTTATACAAAAAAAAAAAAATACGTAAATATTAAACAAATAAAACGCAAAACTATTTTAAAAGTTACTTTTATTTCTTGTAATCCAAAATATTCCTATGTATTACAAAATTTAAATATTTACAATAAAAAAATGATATAATTAATGTTATTATTATTAAAAAAATCATTGTGATAAAAACCAAGATTAAATTTGAAAATTAAAAATTTCCGTTACAACTAGAAATGAAATATACATATTTTTACTCCGTTCTAATTCGTCAATTTGAATTTAAAATTAACCAATAATCGATTATTATAGCAAAAAAAAAAAAAAATTCGTTTTATCACACACACATCGGTTCTGATTGATCGATTGATTTTGTATTATTTTCTTTTATTCTTTGCAATATTTAAATATCTTCTAAGAACTTTTTATCTTCCTCTCGTTCATTTATACAAGAATTATTTATAAATGTTGAGATCAAAATATTTTAAATATCACCAAAAAAAAAAATTTAAATTATTTCCACATTTCACATTTATCTTTCCTGTTCATGGCTGAAGTTTCGGAACAAGAAAACACTTCCGAAAATATTTCGTTGTTCGATAACGCATTATTCACTCTAATTTATATAAAAATTTATATAATTAATTTATATAAAAAAATAATATTAAAAAAAATTCTACAACATTTACCTATACTTTGCTTGAACATATTTGCCTTTCGTCCAATCAGTTTGATTAGATACTTCGCAATAAGTCTGAAATAAATATATAAATATAAGTGTTATTTATTGTATTAAAAAAAATTAGTAATTTTTATAGTTTTATAACAGTTTTAAATATACACCTGAGCGTATTGTATAAAGAACAATTGCTGAGCGTTATAATCCAAGTTTGGTAATTTAAGCTCCTCATCCATATCTCTCTGGTATAACTTTGATAAAAATAAAATAATTTATTAAAATATTTTATAATTTAATTTTTATATAAAAAATAAAACATTTTGTAAATTAAATACAAGCAATAACTTACTCCAAGAGCAGCTTTTAAAGCGATGTTATCACGTATGATAGCTTCTACAGCGTTACGTATATCATCCTAAAAATAATATAAAATATTAAAATATTAATTTTAAAGTTATTTAAAGGATTAAATTATTTAAATTTGATAATATTTAACCTCTTTCATATTATCTTCGTTCAGTCCCGTGTCATTAAAGTATTGATATTTGTAGCAGTTCCTCCTCTCACGATACTCATCCAGGAAGTAATCAGATACATTACCATTAAATTCACTATCAAGTATATCTTTAATATACGATAATTAATATGCTACATTAATCAGTCATCATTTATTAAATATAATGACATACCTTGAATGCTAAATATCGAGTAGATAGCTTGAGCAGTTAAAGTCCCAATACTACTATATTTAGCAAATCTAATTGGTTAAAAATGTTTTTAAAGTAATTAATAATATGTTTATATTTAATTAATTTAATAGAAATTAAATAAAAATATTAAAAATTTATAGTTAAACTCACTTAAAATAATCGGGAATGAAGTAAGGAAAACGAAGAGCTCCCATAGGCAAAACTGTAACGTTTAAAATATTTATTTATTTATTTTATAATATTAATTTAGTAAATATAATCGAAAGTCTAATGATGACCACCTCTAAACAGCGGGCATCTTAAAGATACAAATGAAATCTTTCTTACCTAAGACATTATCATCAGGATAATATTTGATTTCACTACTGATTGGAGGTGTTGTGATAAACCAACTAAAAAGAAAAAAAAAACAATTTAAAAAACTGAATTTTTTAGAATTTTTATGTATACCAGTAGACCCCCTATAACACTGTAGATAATTCTGTGTTATATGAATTCCATGTTGTACGAGTCATTTAGATTTTACAATTACGTGAGCCGTTCACATCCTGGCACATGTATTTGTAAAATCTAAGTGACTCGTACAATATGGAATTCATATAACATGGAATTATCTACATTGTTATGGGGGTCTACTGTAATTTACACATTTAAAAAAATGAAAAATTTTATTCATTTTTTTCAAACTGACTTTTCTTCAATTCTCGGTTCATTCATGGATTGTTTCCTGGTAATGTTCTCTTCATTTTGAAGAATGGTCGAAACAATAGGATTGTCCGTTTTAATCTGGGATTATTTTTGTAATTTTAAAATATTTTAAAATATTAAAATAAATTTAATGAATTTTTAGGTATAAATATAAAAGAAATTCTTACTTTTATATAAAGATCTTTGACTTTATGACGATCCGTTAACCAATCTGGACCACCGATAGCAATTTTTAATTCTTCTAACTAAAAAACATTTACAAAAAATATAGTAATTAAAGTAATTTTACATGAAGTAGAAAGGGTAGTCCAAAAGTCAGTTAACCGAATAGAATTTAACAAATTAAATATGAAATTTTGATTATTAATATTTAAAAAATAAATAAATTTGTTAATGTCCTTCATTTTGAATCAAAGCTACAATAGATAATAACTGAAAATTTAAATAAATATCTACCTTTACACGAATATTTTCCGCAACATCTTCATCTAACCAATCTTGATAACGAAGTACATTATGATAAATTTCTACCGTAGCCTGTGCTAAAGCTTTGATCTACGAAAAATAAAATCACATGATTACAATCATTGTATGTCAAATATTCTTCATATTTAAAATATCCTAAAAAATTTACCTCCTTCTCTCCATCTTCTTCGTATTCTGTCTTCCTATACAATGTACCCAGAGCCATGCCAAAGATATGATTGGTGATGTGGATACACTGCTTCCATTTTTCTATAAAATATCTTGGATAGTCGAAGATATTGTTACCTTTATTCATATCTTTAATGAGAGCCATAAAAGATCTTCTAAAAGGGGTACTGATTAGAGGAAGAAATCTCATGATGTGTCTCCAAATGACATAATCTGTGGCCACGCTATCGTTCAGAAATTTGCAAAATACTTCCGCACTGTACGATGGACAATTATCGTTAACGAAGACATATTCGGGTCTTGTGTTGGATGCGTATATGTTTACAATTTTATGAGCCAGGTTTTGCTGTAATAAGATTTAACAATGTAATGACAATTGTAATAACAATGTAATGAAATTGCATTTTTCTGAGTTTAAACGATTTCATTGCAGTTTATTAGAATGAAAAAAGAACAGATAATAATAGAAATTGTTCTTCAGTAAAAAGGATTTCGTCTAAACAGCTTCCATCACTTTTTATTGCTTGCAATGAGAGTGCTCTCAATGCAAACTTCAAGAAGGATATTTCTCCAGTCTTAAATAAGTTTAAAATACTAAATATCATTCACGAATTTATCTCAATTATATCAGATATACAAGGTATGTATAGCAATACAAAAAATTTACCTTCTTCTTGTCAACGTCACACGAATCTTTATAATCGTCATCACACGATACTTCAGAAAGCGACTAAAATTGATCAACAAAGGTATAAGAGTATAATTGATGAAAATTTTAAAAAGTAATGCGAATATTTAATGATCTTACTGTGGCAAGACGTGCTTCAAAATCAATCATTTTTTCTGCTAAATCTTTTACGGAAGTCTTTTCGTTTCCTTGTATGGCTTTTGTGGCACGTATCATTTCTTGGTAGGAAGTTCTAGAATTATGATACTGAGTCATAGATCTATCACAATAAACTTCTTCTTTCAATTGCGTAAGTTTATCTTCTGGCTAAAATCACATTTTAGAAATCACAAATTATTAAATTGTTTTAATAATCCTTTTGCATAAGACGGTAGATTAATCACTCGCCTTTGGTTTGCTGTAAATCACAAGGTACTTCTTCTTATCCTTTTCGATAACAACATCAAAAAATGGATTACTTCCTAGCGTTGTTATTTTAGCAAATAATTTCTCAAGATCGTATTTATCCGCATTTGAAAGAATGGCATCAGATAGCTCTTTTATATCTTTGAAGCTTTCCACTTCTGAAAAAAAATTATAATTTGATATTTTTATAGCTTCAATAAAAATTAGTATTTTAAATAATAGATTAACTCAGATTCTTAAGACACAAACTTAGTCAAAAAATCCAATTATAAAAATGTCCCACTAGAGATTACAAAATCATAATTATGAAAGACAAAATCAGCTGAATATAAGGATCTTTAATTATTCTTCTCGGAATGGGGTCATACAGACGGCTATTTTGAAATATATGATTAATAAATTCATATTTAGTACGATAGGATTTGTAGTAAATGAGGATTGCAGTGTAATTAGTAACCGAGTATACATCAAACGTGTTCTGCTAGAAAATATTTGGGAATATTAATGCCTATATGCTCGAAAGATTGTGTGGTCAGAAGTTGTTCGGATGAAAAATACCACTCAGAAGACTTGTCTGTCATAATAGTAATACAATAAGCAATGGATATTGTATACCGACGTATTGTAAAATATAGTAAATAATATAAACTTCCTAAAAATTTCATTTCCTTTCGTGTAAATCGAGTTATTTAATTTAAGAAAATTACTAGGCAAAGCACTAGGCTCAAAGTTGATACTGTAATTAAATAAAATTTTGTTATGGCTAAATAATGGCGTGTTATTTAATTAAAAATTATAGTATCTTTAATAGGGCTTGAAAAACAATCCGGTAATTTAGTATTGAGTTTGATTCCAGATAATAATAAACAAATAAATGATCAATTAATACTGGTTATAGGTTGATCATTTGTTTATACTGACCATTTCAAGGATGGAAATGAATTAATCTGTATTCTATTTTTGTTGAATTGTGAAAACATATTCATTTTTTGCATGGGTTTTTAAAAGTAAATTGACTTTAATTTGATAACAATATATGTACTGTACAGGGTAGAAACTTGTAACTTTGGCCTCACCCAACTGCCTAATTAGAAACTGTGTAAACGAGCTAAAATATTCATCAAACAGACTTAATTCTTTATTTAATTTATCTTTAAAATATTTAATAAAATGAAATACTTACTTGAGCTACACTTGGAATAAAATTCTCTAGCCTTTATAAACTCTCTTCCTTTTATCGATTTATGATTTTCTAAATGATCTAGACAATAAATAAATAAATAAATAAATTAGTGCAAGAATATGTAAATTTATTTATTTATTTATTTCGAAATAAAGCCTTAAAAATTTAAAATTACATCTTATGAGCCTGTAAACTTCATCTTCTACATCATTAGCAACTGTATGAATCTTCACGATTTCGTTAGTAACGTGAATTTTACCGTAATGTCCGCAGGCAAATTGATAAAAATCCTTGCAAGGATCCACGGAATCATTCATTCTTTCTCTAATATAATTCACTTTAAAATAAAAAAAAAATAAATTTCATTTTATTGTATCCTCAAAGCTATATATATATAAATGAATATATACTAACCTTGCTTTAAACAATTGGCAGTTATGCAAACGTCTTCCATACCAGAACGGCCTTTATAATTATAATTTAATAATTTGCATATTTAATTAACTATATATATATATATAATTTTTATAAGGATAAAATCACTTACCGCATCCATAAACAAGAGCTAAAACTAAACATATAAATATAATAAATAATAAGCTGGACAGAATGATAAGGCATTGTTCTAACTTAGTTTTTTTCTNAATTTTTATATATTTATAAATACAGCAGTTTTTATACCGTTAGTTCTGTTGCTATCGTGTATAACGCGCACGAATAATTGTAAACATTTCATTGTTTTTTTTTTGTTTTTATTTAATTTCTTTTTAAAATATTTTTTAAAGGGAAGTCAGAAAGAATTATATATATTATAAAATTCCGGTTGGTGTCTAAGATCAATTGGAGTAATGTCTCATACATGACCTTGTTGACAATTATTCTCAATCGTTGTCGTTCTCACGTCTTACATCATGCGGGACAAGACATTCAGCACACTTACTGATATTTAAATTCTTCGATAATTAAAACTTTAATTAGAATTAATTATGCGTATTTTAATATTAATTTTCTATATTTTCTAATTGCCTTTTTTTTTTTTGTTATTTTTCGATTTTTTGGGGGGTCAAATAGTTAGAAAATTTCTTGGATATATATTTCTGCACGTTTCAGAGACGTGCCTTTTTATGCTATTTAATCAAATTTATATTCAAGAATAGAATCCAAGTGATATTAAGTGAATCTTAAGTAGTTAAAACCATTTAAACTGTGAAGTGTGAAGAGTTTTGCGGTTATATAATCCTATTTTTATTCAATGAATTTCTTAACTCACACGTGCCTGAAGAAATGTTAATATTTTAAGTATACTTTAAGCTTGTTTGTATTTTTTTTCATGATAAAAAGGAATAAATTTATGACTTTTATGATCGTTTTATTCATTTAGTATTTCATAAATAAGGTTTTATGGGGAGCTACGTATGTTTTTATAACGTTATATCTATGAGAGGAACCGATAGAAGAAAGCTAGTATTGAGCTAGTATTTACGCAGAATTCGTGTTATAAATTACATAAAAAGCATAAAAAATGATATTAAATTATGTTAAATCAATAAAACTAGTAAAAAAGTTTAGCATAAACTTACTTAATATGCAAGAGCAACTGCGACAACTTCATGCACTCCATAGTTTTGGAGGTGAATCCAAAAGGGTTCAATGTAGTGTTTACTCCATACGACTGACGTAGAGGAGGAGGAAGATGACTGCACAGATGACAAACTACGTCATTTAGTGTCGCTTCTATCGTTCTTGCATCACATATATAAGTTCTACCAATGTCAATCTCATTCAGTAGGAATAGAATGCATATTAGATTGTGACGTCAATGAAAACCATTCCTTAGAAATATTTCTATTTTTATAACAATTAACGAATGAAGTCTTTTAATTGAGAAATTAATATAACCTAATTTAATTACTAATCTACTGCTATTTATGCATACTTGATGGTAATTTATTTAAAATATGAAAAATCGAAAAGACTTTCGAATTCTAAATTGCTCGCTACAGCCTTTCATATATATAATTACATATCATTTTCTCTTGGATTATTTCTCGGAATACGAAAAAAGAAAATGTTATTAACCAAATTATAACATTTCGAAACTATTAAGAAATATATTAATAACAATTATATTATGACGTCAATGAAAGAAAGTCTACTTTATGTATAAAAATCCAAGACATAAACAACTTCAGACAGATTTTCATAATATAAATAAATTGTTAAATTGTAATATTGAAATTTGATGTTGAGCAATAACAGATTGTTATTTGTATAATTTGATTAATTATACATCTGTTATTTTATTTTATTTATTTTTAATTTATTAATTAGTTTTTATTCCATAACTTTTGTTACTTTTTCCAAAAGTTTATTTATTAACAAATCAGTTTAATTTATTCCAGAATTTTGATATTGACAAACTTTTTATCATATATTAATCAATTTCCCGTTTTTAATTGTTAATTTTTCTAGAATTTTTTGATATTGACAATTAAATATTAATCAATTTCTCTTTTGTACTGTAATTGTTAATTTTTCTAGAATTTTTTGATATTGACAAATTGTTACTGGTTATTAATCTATTTCATTATTTAACTGTCAATTCTTCTAGAAATAACTGGAAACGTTGTTGCTAAACTTTTCCGGTATTCTTTATTTGTTTTCATCTCTAATAATTGCTTCAGTTATCTTTAAGTCTTCAGACTGGTTCGGGAGGTATTAAGAAGGTCATACATCTCGAATCAATGGTCCGATTTTCCTGAAAATTTCTCGAAATATTTTCTTCTAATACGCAAACCTCCTCGCAAAATCTCATAACATTTTGACAAAGGGCACAGGAGTTATTAAGCTTTAAATTAGGCGATAAAAATCGTACCCCTCATACAACAACATCCATACATACAGAAAAACCCCAACGTTTCGAGGTTCACTGAGTCCAGAACTGGGGGAAAGTCATTGTATTCACCGCCTGCCATACTTTCCCTCTGTTACGTAACAGCTGGGAAAGTAATATTGACAAGTTATTATTATTTATTAATCCAATTCGTTATTTACTTGTAATTGTTAATATATATATATATATATTTCTAGAATTTAATTATTATCAATTTTAATTTATTCTAGAAGTTAATTATTATCTGTAAGTTATTAATTAATTTCATTGTTTAATTATTAACAGAATGCTATTCATAATTAATATCATTTAATTGTTAATTTAATTTATAATTTTATTTCTTAATTGAGCAGTTAAATGAAATTAAATATTGCAAGCTCTTTTCTTGTAGTAACAATTTAAAGGAATTTATATACTTGTTTCTATTATTTTTATTTGAAATTTTTATCTATAAATTCTAGAATTTATCATTTAATTGGATCAAATATTAGGAATATATTTATATTATTTTTTATTTTTATAAATTATAATTTATATCATAATAAATTAATTAAACTCTAACTAATGTGCACTATTGTTCCATTAAATTGCTGAATTTAGATATAAATTAACAGTATCCATAGATATTATCACAACGAATTTACCTCGTGTTAAATTTCTCAAGAAAATTATCTTTCGTAGTGTTTTATCAGTATAATTTTCAATATATAATCGAAATTCTTCATTATTTTTTCTCTTTTTTTTACTTAAAAGAAGAACAATACCTTATATTTAAAGTAAGTATACCTTACGGGATTTTCACAATAAAACAGGGTGGAGCATAAATCAGTTAACCAAGATGAAGACAAACTCTGACATTTAATTAACTGACTTTTGAGCCACCCTGTAGATAAAGATATATAATTTTTCTTCAATAAATTTTGCAGAATGAAAGTCTCGACATTGTTTTTAGTGGCAATTTCCTGCATTGCTGTGTAAGTAGTATATATATTTTTTCTATAAAGTTTTCTACAATATTATCAAGAAATTAACGTGAGTAAACGGTATTATATGATAGATCTTACGCTCTGGATTGTCCGGATTGTGATAAATCTAAATGTTCTCCTCACGGTGTTTGTCGAGTTGGAGTAGTAACGGACGTTTGCGGATGTTGTGACGTTTGTGCTAAGGTATGTATAATAAACACTACATTTGTGGGATTATTATACAAGTTTTAATACTCATTTTCGTATAGAACGTTGGAGAAGAATGTGGAGGTCCTTGGAACGTTTTCGGTCTATGCGGTTCTAAACTGGTATGCTTTAAGAAGCCACCTCCACCGGATGTGAAAGACCACGTGACTTGGTACTTCAACCAGAAAGGGCGATGCGTTACGTTTCTTTCCTTCTAAACGCAAAAATTCTGTAATTATAAATATCAGAAAGAATAAACGAAAAGTCTAATTAAAATTTGTGTAGGGAAGTGAATTATCTTTTAAAACTTACCTAATTTATTCTCAAATAAATGATAATTTCATTATTTTTCCTTAATTTTTGTCCATTAAGGGGAAAATAATATAGAAAAGAAGATACTTAGATATCTTTTCACGCCTTTTTTTCATTCTTAGTTAATTCCAATGGAAATTTAGAGCGTAATTATTAATATAAATTACAATAGTTGAATTATCACTGCGTGGGTGAGATACGTTCTCTCATCAGACGACTCGGATTGAAAGAACTGTCCTGGTAAGGGCGATCAACGAACTCTGATCATCTTAATTAATTTTGATAAAGAGAAAACTAGGAAAATTGTAGGATTAATGGGATAAGGCAACTCAACACGTATGCGATCTGCGCCCTGTTTAGGTGTTAGACACGTGAAGTAAACTGGAAAAGCCACTCTGTGAGGTGCGAACTCGGGACTAAGCGCTCAAGGGGTTTATCTATTCGGGCAATAGGAAAATAAAAAAGAAAAAAAATAACTACCAAGTCGTTGCTGGACTTTCCCTGCATTATTTATTTGTTTTCACCTCTAATAATAGCAACCATTACCTTTAAGTCTCGGGAGATTTTAAATGAGTAGGGTCATATTTCTCGAACCAATGAAGCGATTTTCCTGAAAATTTACAGAAATATTTTCCCATAATACAGAAACCTCCCCGCAAAATTTCAGAAAATTTAGACAAAAGACACAGGAGTTATTAAGCTTCAAATTGGGTAAAAAATATCGTGATTTTCTACACACACTAAAATCTATACATACAGAAAAACTTCTGACACTATTTCAGAAGGATGTAAACAAGTTAAAGGTAGATGAAATTCTTAATTTTTTGAATACTAACTTAACTAATCCCACATATATAACATATAATATCATTGGCTCCTTACTCAGCCGCTTGCAAAATAGATCCAATCAGTTAATTTGATACATTAAATATACGTAATTAAAATAATATTCAAAGTTATAATTTTTTCAATATCTCCGAAACACTACTCTATTGATAATTTAATATATATATATTTTAATGTTTATAGGATTTTATTTACATAACTATTGAGTAACCCTTTACAAATGAATGTCAAGTGTCTCCTGACGACATTTGACCTCGATTAATTTCCTAGATTTGTCTAGACGGCGAGAATTCTTCGATCTAAATCGCCAATTACCTAATTGAAATGGTGACGTCGACGAATCGAATCGGAATTTAAGAGAAGCGATAAAATAGTCGCGCCATCTGGTGTTATATAAAGAATTTATACGACAATAACTTTATATTTTTTTTAATATTTTAAAGAACGGTAATAAAATCTAATAATTATAAATATTGTGTTTCTTAACAAAATACAATTCGTTATTTCAATAATACAAGACTTATTTAACATATAATTTTTTTTTTTAGCCATGTAATTTGACGGGTAACTTTCTCAATTTTTCCGTCGAATGTCGCCGTAATCGGTGTTGAAATTTTAAAATATTTTTAAAAAATATTGAAAGTTTTTTACATTATTAACATGCTTATAATTAACTATTTATATGCAATTTTTAATAAGATTTTAATAATAAATAACTTAAAAAAATTAGAATTAATAAAAAATGTAAATTGTTGGCAGAAGCGAAAGTTTTAGAAAAAAAAAAATTGAAGATAATCACTTATTTTCTGTACACAATTTGTAATATTGCTAACTGGGAAAACTTTTAAGTATAGCTGAACCCTAATCGAATGTTACCAACGCGAAGAAAACCCTAAAAACTCCATGCGGCCAGTTTGTTGGTCACACAAATTCGTGGATTCGTAAGAGAAAGGGGACCAGATTAACTATATATAAACTCGTTTTTTCTGCCACAAGTCATGTTATTTCAATTCGAAAATTTTACCCCAGAACGAAGTTGGCTACATAACCGGCATAACTGTTAAACGTAGCAATTAAACTTAGGGATGTATAGCAAACAAACAAACAAACACACACATATATATAGGCCTATAATGTATTAAGGAATTTGTGTCTTTATTTATTCAAACATTTATTTTCAGTTTTGCCGTATAATTTTTAGGACAGACAAACAAACTGGCGCGTTATTTTTACCAATTTAAGTCTACCTTTCCGTTAAGTTTTCGAACAATTGAACATTAAGCGAATAATTTTATATTTTTAAAAAATATTTTATTAATATTTTAGTAGAAGATAAAATATCAAAACTGAAAAAAACGAGCAATAATTTTTTTTATTATAAAACAAGATAAATTAAATTATTCTATTATTTAATAATAAATTAATTTTTATTAACAAATTTATAAATAAATGAAAAAACCCCTCTATCTTAAATAGACATATTGTAATTTTCTCATAGTTTAACCTTGATAAAATAATCGGTAAATGCTTGTCGAGTATAAAAGTAGCCATCTTTCTTAGTTTCTTTTCTTAATTCCTCTTGGCCTAAAGCATGGATAGATTTTTATCCATTAGAATTATAACTTCTATTGTCACGCAATATTTATTAGAATACAGAATGAAGTCTTCGATGCTCTTATTGGTTCTGGCGTGCTGTATCATTACGTAAGTAGTGTTATAATTTAATATATGCATTTATTTACTGGTTTAGAAAGATTTTAAATAAATAATTTAATAAATAAATCAAGAACATACGCCCTGGATTGTCCTCCGTGTGACAAATCTGCCTGTCAACCTCACGGAAGATGCGTTGCCGGAGTGGTTAAAGACGTTTGTGGTTGTTGTGACGTGTGTGCAAAGGTGCGTAACTCTATATAAAAAAATGTGATTACATGTAAAAGTGGATAAATGCTTCTAAATATTATTTTTTAAATTTTTATTGCAGAAAATTGGCGAAGAATGTGGAGGACCCGACGATATGTATGGCAAATGTGCAAGTTGGATGGCGTGTATCAGGAGGCCACTCCCTCCTCCTGAAAACGTCGACATTAAAATTTGGCATAAAAATCAGAAAGGAAAATGTTTTCCCTTAGATAATAAGTAATTGTAAATAATCTTTGAATAAACTACACATGATTCAATCGATAAGGTCTATTTATCATACTGTGAATGAAAATTCATTTATTGTTTAGGGAAAAGACCCACAAAAAATTGAACCATCAATCCACAGATTGTGGATGAAGATGAAGAGGATTCTTTTCTAATTCAATCGAAGAAGTGAGGATTTCTAATTTAATAATTTAATATAGTTGTAAGCTTCTTGTCTCTAATAAATTAAATAAAATAATTATATCAAATAAGCAATTGGGGAAGATATAATAGGCTTACCAAGCTGCAATGGAGCCAATTAATCGAGATTACATCAAGAAAAGGAAACAAAATTTATTAATGGGATGTATTTCGGTATTCACTAGGTTCTCTGCAGCCAATACTACATAAATACAGATACAATTGTTGCACGTATCTGACAAAAGTAATTTATAATAATAATTATTGTTTCTAGAGTCAGAAAAATAAAATGGTTAAATTCGTCTGCGTTAAAAACTTAAATATTAATAAAGTAAACATTAATTAATATTTTGTTAGACACTAGTATTTGTCAAGGTCCATAAACGCAAGGTCTAGATACGATACCGTGATCTATGGCGGCAGTCGCCATATTGTGTCTTTTGTGTTCGTGTATACGGCATTTCTAGAGCGAATTTGGTTATTTGTTTTTTTCCCATCTCAATTAGTTGAATTTCTTTTTATCTATTTTTAAAAAAATGATTTGGTATTCGACACCGAATTGTAAAAATTCTTCAGCCAAAGGTGTAAGATTGTTCCGTTTTTCCGCAAATAGATCCAGGAGAGTGATGATTTAAGAGTTAATTATTGTAACGATTTTTGCTCGAATTTAACCATTGACAGCTTTTTATTTTAAAACCCATTTAATTAATTATATGTCACAGTACCTCTAAAATGAAAAGACATTCTATTTAAAATTATATGGCTCGAACTCCAAGGAACGTGTAGTTTACTGCACGCCATAGCATGAAATCTAAACTGTGACCTTGGAACTAAGGACCCAATATGGCGGCTCCCTAGCACATTTCAGTTGAATGTGCTGTCCTTTTGGCAATTATCCACGGTTTGCTGGAATTTACTTATAATTACAAATTGTACAGTACTTTCAATTGGGACAGTTTGCAGAATGAAAAATTCATTGATATTCTTATTGGCTCTGGCCTGCGTAAACTTAATATATGCATTTATTTACTGGTTTAGAATGATTTTAATTAAATAAATAATTTAATATATAAATCATGAACGTACGCATGGATTGTCTTCCGTGCCAAATATCTGTCAACCTCACAGAACATGCGATGTTGGAGTAGTTAAGAACGTTTGTAATATTAAAATATGATTATGTATGTTTAAAAATGCTAGTTAACGTTTCTAAATATTATATTCTTAATCATTACTGCAGAGATTAGGCGAAGATTGCGGAGGATCCAAGATAATTATGGCAAATGTGGAAGGTCAATGGTATGTGTCAGGCCGTACCTGTGTTTTACGCTATTCGGGGCCTACAAATAAAATATTGCATTACATCGCATAACATTTCTGTATATTATACGTATAAGTATTATATTATGTACAGTACAGTACATACATTTATACACAACACATCGTCTCAAAATTCGTTTTTTAATCATCAAATATCCAGAAATATTAAACGAGACATGCCAACACACACCCAAGAAATTGTTTTTCTGTTTTTCTTTACTCTTTGAATCATTCAGGGGCATGTCAAAACGTNTGGTCCTGTAAATCTTGCACGCCGCTTTCTCTTAAGACCTCCATTGTTAAGGAATACACTTCTTTCATCACCCGTGGTACCCGTGGTAAATGTGGTAGCCTACTAAAACGTAGTCAAAAACGCAAAAAACCGCATCTAAAATAGTACAATAGAAGCCGAGTTCTTCAAGGTAAGTCTTAATTCTCTCCCTCTCCCCAGTAGGGAGAATATCGAAAAATCCCTTCTTAGTGTGCGTTCTCGTGACATACCTTAACTGTGTACCAAATTTCAACTTTCAACTCTTAATCGTTTGGGCTCTGCACTTATTATTATTATTATTACATCTCGATTATATATATAGATTATTGTTTCTAGAATCAGAAAAATAAAACGGTTAAATTCGTCTGCGTTAAAAATTTAAATATACAGTAAATAGAGTAACCATACTAGTATTTGTCAAGGTCTATAAACACAAGGCCTGGACACGATACCGTGATTCATGGCGGCAGTCGCCATATTGGGTCTTTTGTGTTCGTGTGTACGTAGAGTTACCACCCGTCCGGTTTTCACCCGGACAGTCCGGGAATTGACTCACTGTCCGGGTGAACTATTAATTTTGTCCGAGAATTTGGTTATTTGTTTTTTTTTTTTCATTTCAATTAGTTGAATTTCTTGTTACCTATGCAAACACACACCCAATAAATTTTTTTCTGTTTTTCTTTACTCTTTGAATCGTTCAGGGGCGTGTCAAAACGTACGGATTCTGGTCAAATTTGATTATATAAAAATTTTATAAATAAAAAAATGCACTATCTTTAGTAAACATACTGTAATTTTCTCATAGTTTAACCTTGATAAAATTACTGATAAATACAGTATAAAAGTAGCCACGTGTCTTAGTTTCTTCTCTTAATTCTTCTACACACAAATAAAGCTCAGGTAAGTTTTACCTTCACCTAAAGTAACGTTGATCAGTCTACAAAATGAAGTCTTCGATTCTCTTATTGGTCCTGGCCTGCTGTATCATTGCGTAAGTATTGTTATAATTTAATTAATATACGCATTTATTTACTGGTTTAGAAAGATTTTTAAATAAATAATTTAATAAATAAATCAAGAACGTATGCCTTGGATTGTCCTTCGTGTGACAAATCTGCCTGTCAACCTCACGGAAGATGTGTTGCAGGAGTGGTTAAAGACGTTTGTGGCTGTTGTGACGTGTGTGCTAAGGTACGTAACTACATAAAAATGTGATTATATACGTTTAAAAATGTAAATTAACGTTTCTAAATATTATATTCTTGATTATTTCTGCAGACATTAGGCGAAGAATGCGGAGGACCCGACGATATTTATGGCAAATGTGCGAGTTGGATGGTGTGCGTCAGGCCATTCCCTCCTCCTAAAGATGTCGACTACAAAACTTGGCACAAAAGCCAGAAAGGAAAATGCCGTCATCTTATTTAATAATTAATTATCTTCAAATAATTGTAAATATTGTTTAAATAAAAGTGCAGACCTTCAATTAGTCTTATTATTATCATTTATCTGCGTACATGAATACGGTTTAATGTAAAAATATTCGAATTATTTAAGGTTGATAAATAAAATAAACCATTCATAATTTACACAATAATGATGGGGATGAGGTGCATTGGTCTTTGAATCGATGGAAGAAGCGACGATTCCCGAATTCTGATTAAGTGTAACTAATTATCGGGCTAAAATTTGAAAAAAATTGTAGACCTGTAAATTCCCACTGTCGTCCGTCCGTCTGTCTTTATTAATCTCGAGAACGTTAAAGGAAAACTGACGTACAGAGCAAGCCACTAGTCTACTAATTTGAGGTGGAGAAACTATTATCCTTTCTTTACCTCTGAAAATCTCAGAATATTCTTTCAATTAAATTTTAATTTGCATTAATAATTGTAATTTGACGAAGTGTAAAAATATCCATTAACTAATTCCCGATATCCTGGAGTGTCCGTTAATGGACGTTTCACTGTATTAAGAAATTTGCCACTTTATTGAAATATTTAACTTGAGTTTTGCCGTATAATTTTTATGACAGACAAACAAACTGGCACGTTATTTTTACCAATTTAAGTCTACCTTTCCGTTAAGTTTTCGAACAATTGAACATTAAGCAAATAATCTTATATTTTTTATAAATATTTTATTAATTTTTTAGTAGAAGATAAAATATTAATAGTGAAAAAACAAGCGATAATTTTTTTATTATAAAACAAGATAAATTATTCTACTTTTTAATAATGAATTAATTTTTATATAACAAATTTATAAGTAAAAAAAACCCCTCTATCCTAAATAGACATATTGTAATTTTCTCATAGTTTAACCTTGATAAAATAATCGGTAAATGCTTGTCGAGTATAAAAGTAGCCATCATTCTTAGTTTCTACACTTAATTCCTCTTGGCCTAAAGCGTGGATAGATTTTTATCCATTAGAATTATAACTTCTATTGTCACGTAATATTTATTAGAATACAGAATGAAATCTTCGATGCTTTTCTTAGCTCTTGCCTGCTGCATAATTGCGTATGTAAAGAGTTATTAATTAATATATACATTTAATTATTCGTTTACAGTGTTTTTAAATAAATAATTTAATAAATAAATCAAGAACGTACGCCCTGAATTGTCCTCTATATGACAAACCTGCGTGTCAACCTCACGGAAGATGTGCAGTTGGAGTGATTAAAGACGTTTGTGACTGCGGTGAAGTGTNTAATATATGCATTTATTTACTGGTTTAGAAAGATTTTAAATAAATAATTTAATAAATAAATCAAGAACGTACGCCCTGGATTGTCCTCCGTGTGACAAATCTGCCTGTCAACCTCACGGAAGATGTGCAGTTGGAGTGGTTAAAGACGTTTGTGGCTGCAGTGATGTGTGTGCAAAGATGCGTAACTCTATAAACATATAATTTTATATGTTTAAAGAGTTTTTAAATAAATAATTTAATAAATAAATCAAGAACGTACGCCCTGAATTGTCCCTCGTGTGACAAATCTGCCTGTCAACCTCACGGAAGATGTGCAGTTGGAGTGGTTAAAGACGTTTGTGGCTGCTGTGACGTGTGTGCTAAGGTCCCTAACTCTATAAAAATATAAATATATATGTTTGAAGATGTGAATAAACGTTTCTAAATATTATATTCTTTATTATTACTGTAGAGAATAGGCGAGGAATGCGGAGGACCCGACGATATTTATGGAAAATGTGCGAGATGGATGTTGTGCGTCGGGCCATTCCCTCCCCCTAAAGATGTCAAAGATACCGAAACTTGGTACTAAAACCAGAAAGGAAAGTGTAAGCCCCTCAGAGGTTAAATAATTCTGTTCATATAATTGTAATTTTTGTTTAAATAAAGTAAATATCTTTACAATTAGCCTCATTATTATCATTTATCTGCGTACATAAAGTACGGTATAAAGTAACAATACTCNGCATTTATTTACTGGTTTAGAAAGATTTTAAATAAATAATTTAATAAATAAATCAAGAACATACGCCCTGGATTGTCCTCCGTGTGACAAATCTGCCTGTCAACCTCACGGAAGATGCGTTGCCGGAGTGGTTAAAGACGTTTGTGGTTGTTGTGACGTGTGTGCAAAGGTGCGTAACTCTATATAAAAAAATGTGATTACATGTAAAAGTGGATAAATGCTTCTAAATATTATTTTTTAAATTTTTATTGCAGAAAATTGGCGAAGAATGTGGAGGACCCGACGATATGTATGGCAAATGTGCAAGTTGGATGGCGTGTATCAGGAGGCCACTCCCTCCTCCTGAAAACGTCGACATTAAAATTTGGCATAAAAATCAGAAAGGAAAATGTTTTCCCTTAGATAATAAGTAATTGTAAATAATCTTTGAATAAACTACACATGATTCAATCGATAAGGTCTATTTATCATACTGTGAATGAAAATTCATTTATTGTTTAGGGAAAAGACCCACAAAAAATTGAACCATCAATCCACAGATTGTGGATGAAGATGAAGAGGATTCTTTTCTAATTCAATCGAAGAAGTGAGGATTTCTAATTTAATAATTTAATATAGTTGTAAGCTTCTTGTCTCTAATAAATTAAATAAAATAATTATATCAAATAAGCAATTGGGGAAGATATAATAGGCTTACCAAGCTGCAATGGAGCCAATTAATCGAGATTACATCAAGAAAAGGAAACAAAATTTATTAATGGGATGTATTTCGGTATTCACTAGGTTCTCTGCAGCCAATACTACATAAATACAGATACAATTGTTGCACGTATCTGACAAAAGTAATTTATAATAATAATTATTGTTTCTAGAGTCAGAAAAATAAAATGGTTAAATTCGTCTGCGTTAAAAACTTAAATATTAATAAAGTAAACATTAATTAATATTTTGTTAGACACTAGTATTTGTCAAGGTCCATAAACGCAAGGTCTAGATACGATACCGTGATCTATGGCGGCAGTCGCCATATTGTGTCTTTTGTGTTCGTGTATACGGCATTTCTAGAGCGAATTTGGTTATTTGTTTTTTTCCCATCTCAATTAGTTGAATTTCTTTTTATCTATTTTNACGTTTCTAAATATTATATTCTTTATTATTACTGTAGAGAATAGGCGAGGAATGCGGAGGACCCGACGATATTTATGGAAAATGTGCGAGATGGATGTTGTGCGTCGGGCCATTCCCTCCCCCTAAAGATGTCAAAGATACCGAAACTTGGTACAAAAACCAGAAAGGAAAGTGTAAGCCCCTCAGAGGTTAAATAATTCTGTTCATATAATTGTAATTTTTGTTTAAATAAAGTAAATATCTTTACAATTAGCCTCATTATTATCATTTATCTGCGTACATAAAGTACGGTATAAAGTAACAATACTCACACTTCTTAAGGTTTGTATATAAGAGAAATTATATATAATTTACGTAACGACTTTAAAACATTCCTCGCTTCTTCCGGCTATCTTCATTTTTTTCGGAAATTTTCTATTAAATGATTCGCCATTCAACGGAATTAAAAGATTTAAATTATTTATTTTGAGCCTTTGTATAATTTTCCAGACAAACAAACATACCGGAAAATTATTTCCAGCAATTTAAATCTATCTTTCTGTTAAGTTACTTGTGGAATAATATAATTTACAACAGAAGAAAAAGAAACGTTAAATAAAAAATTTTTATATTATAAAAAGTCAAATAAATGCTTAATTTTGAGGGTAGAGAGGAGTTTTATAATATATTATTAATGCTAATAACGAGTAAAATCTTCATTAAGTTCGTCTTCACGCCAGATACTACACACGGTTTCTCTCTATCTCCACTTCCCCTCGACCTTTAACCACAAAAATTTAACAGCATCGAGCCCCCTAATACGTAAACTTCCCTGAAAAATTTCAAAAACTTTTGACAAAAGAGACAGGAATTATTAAGGTTCAAACAAGGTGAACGAAATCGTGCCCCCCACACACTAACATCAATAGATATAATTTTTTCACAATTTAACCTTGATAAAATTACTGATAAATGCTTCTCGAGTATAAACGTAGTCAAATTTCTTAGTTTCTTCACTTAATTCCTCTTCAGGTAAGTTTTTATTAGTTATAATTAAAAACTTTACCTAACATAACAGAACGAAGTCTTTCTATGCTCTTCTTGGCTCTGGCCTGCTGCACAATTGCATAAGTAATCAATTATTACTTAATATATAGTTTATTTACAGGTTTAAAACGTTTTTAAATAAATAATTTGATGAATAAACGAAGAAAAATTGTTTTCTTTGTGACAAATTTCATGTGAATTGCTGGAGTAGTTCAGGACGTTTGTGACTGTTGTGACGTGTGTGAAAAGGTACGTAAGTAACGTAACTCTATAAAAATATGATTATATACATTTAAAGATGTGAATTAACGTTTCTAAATATTATTTTCTTAATTATTATTGTAGGAATTAGGCGAAGAAGGACCCAAAAATATACATGAGAGCGAGACGATATGCGTCAGATCAGATCGTTCCCTTCCTTTGGTAAACATTTTCTAACTTGTTAGAAAACCCAGAAAGGAAAATGTATGCACGTCACAATTAGAAATAATAGCGAATAAAATATAGATCCTTGAAACGTAGTTAATTTGGAAAGTAACAATTGGTTAATATGTAAAGAGTAAAGCATTCATCCTCCCACATCCTATTGGTTACAATGTAAATAAAAATTTTGAAACTCGACTCCTTCCTTTAACCTCTTTGACACAATTGATGCAGCCGTAAACATTTTAAAGTAAATTAAAATATTAGTAATTATTCAATCAACGCAACTTCCGTCTCTACTCTTAAGGAGTGTTGCATATTTTTCTAATTTCTTCCTTTTAAGATGATGCTGGAGATGGTTTAGAAAGGACCAAAAAAAATCAACATCTGACTAATTTATAACGTTAATTATTTAAAACAAAGCGTAAATTTAGTGCTTAAAGATAATAATTAAGTTAAATTAAATGGGAAAATACCATATCAATTAAGTTTCGTAATTCTAAGAAGCTAACTTCAACCAGACCGACGACGTCAAATATGCACTTAACTGATAAGTTACGTCACATTTTGGCATCCGGAATGTTTATTACGTGATGCTTAACAATATAAAAATCAAACTTTAGTATAATCAAAGAAGGAAGAAGATGTGGCTCGGTTTTCTCTGCATACTAAGCTTCGTTGCAAGGTAAATCCTATCACCTAGACTGATATAGCGATATTATAACTAGTTATACCTTTTAAATATGATAATTTATATAAATATATAGACAAATATTAACTTTTAATACCCTAAATTTAAATATTAATCCGTAATTTAACATTATACATTTATATAATCGATAACTGATCCTAAATTATCACTTGATAAAGCATCACCTGGAGCATCATCACCATACTGTTAAATACAATTACTCTATTTGTAAGTTTTAATCGTTATTAGTTGATCCAATTATTTAATTAATCGAAATGAAATTTTTCTAAATTAATAATTAGAATATTTCGTTCGTTCAAAGTGAATCTTTTCTTCAGAATTAAAGGAAAAGGAAACAGGAAATAACTTTTGATATGTGATATCTCTTCCCTTCTTATAAGAAAAATATATCCTTCCTTTATAAAATAAGTTATATAATATATTTTTTTTAAAATATAATTTTCTTAGATATTATTTTCTTTTTTTATATTTTAATAAAACATTTTATTCCGAATAATGTGTAAATATTCCCTTCTACACTTAGATGTATTCTAAACCTTTTGTGATTTGATATACTTAACAGATAAAAATTAAGAATATTTAATTGTATTTTAATTAGAAACTACATTAACTAATTATTTATAAATGATGTTTAAAGGCAGTTTAACCCTCCTACTAATATCTTATAAGAGACTCTTTACCCTAAACCAAATTATATATTAATTTTTTAAGTCCCGTCTATCACCTATGTTATTCGACCCCACTGCGGGTCAGCCCCTCCTGTATGCTGGTATCTCGTGTTAATTAATGAATAATCAATTAATTTTTTTTATTTAGAAGAATGGAAAGAGCCCTTCCACCCTCCTAAATAAGTCGTCATCCTAGGATGAAGCACAAAACTGTTACTTGTTTATGTTAAGTAAATCCGGTACCGATTGCCAAATTCTTAAGTAGTTACTGTTGAATACATAACGAAAACATTGTAAGAAATATGTTATTTAACTCTGGAATTCGTTCACTTGATTATTTTTACTCTATTTTCCACTTGACATTGAGACTCCCACTTTAAAATCATAAGCTACGTATTGACTCTGATGCTCGAACGAAAATATTTCAACTTTAAGTGCTTCGTTACTAAATATTCCTTCTAATTTTGATTTTTTTTCTTGTTCCTGTTTGATAAATATATTGCAGAAAGTTTATTTGTACTTTAATTGCTACAATTTTCTTAGCCTTAAATATAATTTGACATAGTTTTATGAAGATATAAGTTGATGGATGATCTCTTGAAAAATCAAAATGGAGGCTTAAAATTAAAAATAATAAAAAAAAACGTTGGAAGAATTCAAATTATTTTTGTAAATATTAATAAATTTCAAATGTTTTCACTATTTATAAGTAATTTTAATATTATTTTTAATAAAATAAACGAAGTTTTATTCTTTCATACAAAGCGAAAGAAAATCTCTAACGAGGTTTGAAGACATCGACCATAACCATTTAGTTAATTTAATTACGTATTTAAATTACACAAAATTAATAATTTGATTGGGTAATTGGATTGTTTAAACCTAACACACTTTTTAATGTTAATGAGTCAGACCTAAATGAGTCATCCGTGAAATGCCAATTTCTTTAAGCGCTTTCCTCCGTCTTACTTGCAACACGCCAAGCAGCAAGAGCAGCATTTTATTTTACTACAACAGGGTTTAATGTTTTATTTTAAAATAAAATTGCTTTCAGGAATAAAATTAAGTAATTTCCTTAATAGTGCTTCCTTATACTGCGTGCCTTGTAAAGAAGTTACGTGCGATAGAGTGCCAAGCGACTGTCCCGTAGGAGTTACAAAAGATCCTTGTGGATGCTGCGGAGTTTGTGCAAAGGTAGGATCTTCGTATATCATATCGACACGCGAAATACTATATAATTATTCAATACACATGAATTTCTCTTGCAGAACCTGGGCGATCCTTGCGGAGGACCTTTTAATTCTTACGGAACCTGCGGAATCGATCTAGTTTGCGACTTGGGGGATTTTCCACCTAACGAAGATCCACGTGATTACGCCGATGCTCCTATCGGGAAATGCATCGTGGGTAGAAGAATGACAACTACCACTTCCACTCCCGACTTTACCGTTCCCGACATACTTCAATGAAAGTGGACAATATAATGGAGCGGGTGTCATTATTCTGTTTATATTATTCATCGAGCGTGTTGTAATTTTATTATTGCATTAGTAAGATGTCTGTATTGGAGTAATGTAATAAAAAAAATCATAATGTATAAATAAATATACTGTATTAACTAATACACTATTCATTAGTTTAGTAATGGCTTAGTTCTTATTAGTAAACAAGGACCAGATGTAAGTGTAAAGTCTAGTGTATAAACCAACGACATAATTACTATATCCAGAATCGGTTGAAAGTTAACGTAGAAACTAGCGCCGACGTTTGAAGTCAAAGAAAATTGGCGCCGCCATGACTGTCTAAGGCAGAAAGTGCCTATGCCGCAGAGGTTGTTGTATGTCGACTTACGGTAGCTATTTCTAGCGTAATTGCTATTTATTTAGACTCGACTGTACGGGAATTGTCATAAATTAGATATAGGCCTAGTTAATCTGGCACTATATCGTGGGTTGGCGATCAAAATCTCGTAACTCCTTCTGAAGAAATTTTTCTAGAGAAACATTAAAGTTCCTTCAGAAATCCTACGTTGAGTTTTATTTTTTACTTATGTATTGAATTAAGTTCGAAAGTTTTATTACGAGAGTTTTATAGATCAGGAAACGTGTTTCGTTATCCATAAATGCTGTAATTCAAACTTGAACATATATTAAAGTTACGGGGTTTTGATCGCTGACCGATGATATATGGTACCCCTTTTTTGTACGTAAAACGAACACACAATGGATATTTTCTTGACGGACTTCTTAAAAATAAGCAATACTTCGTTCGGTGGTTGACATCGATACGCCGTGACGACCAAGCAATAATAAGAGTTTTTTGCAGTCAGCACTTTGAACCTAACTGTTTTTACACAAAGAACGAATACATCTATTTGCATGAAACATCGGTTCCTACAAAGTTTGATTTTCCTCGGCATCTATAGAGACGGTCAGTAGTGCCACGGAGACCACTAAAGCAAACATCTTTGGCTAACACATGATGAATAGAGTGTGCAGTAGCAAGATGAAGCTCAAATGCCTGACCCACCATAATCAGGCGCATCGTGGTGTTATCATAAGACACGTGTACACGATTCTACAATATTTAATAATCCAGAATTATGTCTAAAATTTGAGAATAGAGTTACTCCTAAGCTTGGTTGGACTTTCTACGGATTGTATTGTATTGTATTGGATTAGTGGAATAAGGTTAATCATTAGATCCTATTTCCATGAATTAATAACAATGTTATTTGTTTAGTGTTTTTTAAGGTTAAAGCCTTAATGTGTTCCACATATAATAAGTTATGTTTTTATTCGATTTTTCAAATAATTTTTCTGTTTCGTATAACAAGACGTANTAAACCATTCATAATTTACACAATAATGATGGGGATGAGGGGCATTGGTCATTGAATCGATGGAAGAAGCGACGATTCCCGAATTCTGATTAAGTGTAACTAATTATAGAGCTGAAATTTGAAAAAAAAAATTCTAGACCTGTAAATTCCCGCTGTCGTCCATCCGCCTGTCTTTATTAATCTCGAGAACGGTACGACTCTATTGTTAAAAGAAAACTATGATGTACAGAGCAAGCCACTAGTCTACTAATTTGAGGTGGAGAGCGTATATTTTAAATTTTAAAAATATAATTAAAAATTGCAGCCTTACATTGTGACTATGTCACAATAAATAATTGCTCATAAATATTGGATTTAAATCTTTCCGAAGAGAAAAATATGAAAATTAATCGGGACACGGAGCGATTTCGTCGTACGGGCGTAGAATTGGGATGGAACGTTGCCTTCTTTTTGTAATTGAAAACTTTTTAATTAGCCTTAGTGTGTATAAGCCTTTCTTATTCTTTCTTTCCAGCAAGTTCAAGAATCTCCTTCAATTTGCTGGAAAAGGGAGATGATCCTAGCACATGTTGGGTGCGGACAGGCCATCCTTACTTTCGCTCGGTGTCTATTGCTTTGTTATTGTGTTTTGCTGTTTTCTTGGAACCCAATTTTCTTCAGGTTTGCTGAATGGCATCGGGGAAGAAGAACGTTGTCACTTCGACTCCCAAGTATCTTCAAATCCGACTCCTGGACCCCCATTCTTTTATTATCCACAATTATAATAGTAAACTATTATTTTTTTTTTACCTTTGAAAATCTCAGAATATTCTTTCAATTAAAATTTCATTTGTATTAATAATTATTAACGTATTAATTGTAATTAAACAAATTGTCAAAATGACCTTTAAGTAATGCCCGATATTCGGGAGTGTCCTTAATGATGGTTTCTCTATATTAACAAATTTGTGACTTTATTCAAATATGTCCTCGATGCTCTTCTTGGCTCTGACCTGCTGCATAATTGCGTATGTAAAGAGTTATTACGTAATATACACATTTAATTATTTGTTTACAGCGTTTTTTAAATAAATGATTTAATAAACTCACCAAGAACGTACACCCTGAATTGTCCTCTATATGACAAACCTGCGTGTCAACCTCACGGAAGATGTGCAGTTGGAGTGATTAAAGACGTTTGTGACTGCGGTGAAGTGTGTGCAAAGATGCGTAACTCTATAAACATATAATTTTATATGTTTAAAGATGTGAATTAACGTTTCTAAACATTATATTCTTAATTATTTCTGCAGACATTAGGCGAGGAATGCGGAGGACCAGGCGATATTTATTACAAATGTGCGAGATGGATGGTGTGTGTCAGGAGGTCATTCCCTCCTCCTAAAAACGTCGACATTAAAATTTGGCATAATAATCAGAAAGGAAAATGTTTTCCTTTAGATATGAAGTAATTGTAAATAATCTTTGAATAAATACTACATATGCTTCAATTATAAGACCTATTTACCATAGTATGAATGAAAAAAATTATTTATTGTTTACGGAAAAGACCCACAAAAAATTGGGTCTTCACTATGTCCTCTTCAGCCAATATTACATAAATACAGATACAATTGCAAAAAATTTATATTTAAGTTTTTTGCAATTGTTGTAGATATCTGACAAAAGTAATTTATAATAATAAATAGCAGATAAGCCCGGCGTTATTCAGGCAAAAAGTAACGATAGTGAAGATTAAGATAATTACATTATAGCCAATCTTACTCGATTTCACAGTATTCAACAATTAGGTCCCCCGTTTCCAGACTAATTAGAGAATTTTTACATGGGTTTAAAAATATGTTCTATNATAATTAAGTTAAATTAAATGGGAAAATACCATATCAATTAAGTTTCGTAATTCTAAGAAGCTAACTTCAACCAGACCGACGACGTCAAATATGCACTTAACTGATAAGTTACGTCACATTTTGGCATCCGGAATGTTTATTACGTGATGCTTAACAATATAAAAATCAAACTTTAGTATAATCAAAGAAGGAAGAAGATGTGGCTCGGTTTTCTCTGCATACTAAGCTTCGTTGCAAGGTAAATCCTATCACCTAGACTGATATAGCGATATTATAACTAGTTATACCTTTTAAATATGATAATTTATATAAATATATAGACAAATATTAACTTTTAATACCCTAAATTTAAATATTAATCCGTAATTTAACATTATACATTTATATAATCGATAACTGATCCTAAATTATCACTTGATAAAGCATCACCTGGAGCATCATCACCATACTGTTAAATACAATTACTCTATTTGTAAGTTTTAATCGTTATTAGTTGATCCAATTATTTAATTAATCGAAATGAAATTTTTCTAAATTAATAATTAGAATATTTCGTTCGTTCAAAGTGAATCTTTTCTTCAGAATTAAAGGAAAAGGAAACAGGAAATAACTTTTGATATGTGATATCTCTTCCCTTCTTATAAGAAAAATATATCCTTCCTTTATAAAATAAGTTATATAATATATTTTTTTTAAAATATAATTTTCTTAGATATTATTTTCTTTTTTTATATTTTAATAAAACAGTTTATTCCGAATAATGTGTAAATATTCCCTTCTACACTTAGATGTATTCTAAACCTTTTGTGATTTGATATACTTAACAGATAAAAATTAAGAATATTTAATTGTATTTTAATTAGAAACTACATTAACTAATTATTTATAAATGATGTTTAAAGGCAGTTTAACCCTCCTACTAATATCTTATAAGAGACTCTTTACCCTAAACCAAATTATATATTAATTTTTTAAGTCCCGTCTATCACCTATGTTATTCGACCCCACTGCGGGTCAGCCCCTCCTGTATGCTGGTATCTCGTGTTAATTAATGAATAATCAATTAATTTTTTTTATTTAGAAGAATGGAAAGAGCCCTTCCACCCTCCTAAATAAGTCGTCATCCTAGGATGAAGCACAAAACTGTTACTTGTTTATGTTAAGTAAATCCGGTACCGATTGCCAAATTCTTAAGTAGTTACTGTTGAATACATAACGAAAACATTGTAAGAAATATGTTATTTAACTCTGGAATTCGTTCACTTGATTATTTTTACTCTATTTTCCACTTGACATTGAGACTCCCACTTTAAAATCATAAGCTACGTATTGACTCTGATGCTCGAACGAAAATATTTCAACTTTAAGTGCTTCGTTACTAAATATTCCTTCTAATTTTGATTTTTTTTCTTGTTCCTGTTTGATAAATATATTGCAGAAAGTTTATTTGTACTTTAATTGCTACAATTTTCTTAGCCTTAAATATAATTTGACATAGTTTTATGAAGATATAAGTTGATGGATGATCTCTTGAAAAATCAAAATGGAGGCTTAAAATTAAAAATAATAAAAAAAAACGTTGGAAGAATTCAAATTATTTTTGTAAATATTAATAAATTTCAAATGTTTTCACTATTTATAAGTAATTTTAATATTATTTTTAATAAAATAAACGAAGTTTTATTCTTTCATACAAAGCGAAAGAAAATCTCTAACGAGGTTTGAAGACATCGACCATAACCATTTAGTTAATTTAATTACGTATTTAAATTACACAAAATTAATAATTTGATTGGGTAATTGGATTGTTTAAACCTAACACACTTTTTAATGTTAATGAGTCAGACCTAAATGAGTCATCCGTGAAATGCCAATTTCTTTAAGCGCTTTCCTCCGTCTTACTTGCAACACGCCAAGCAGCAAGAGCAGCATTTTATTTTACTACAACAGGGTTTAATGTTTTATTTTAAAATAAAATTGCTTTCAGGAATAAAATTAAGTAATTTCCTTAATAGTGCTTCCTTATACTGCGTGCCTTGTAAAGAAGTTACGTGCGATAGAGTGCCAAGCGACTGTCCCGTAGGAGTTACAAAAGATCCTTGTGGATGCTGCGGAGTTTGTGCAAAGGTAGGATCTTCGTATATCATATCGACACGCGAAATACTATATAATTATTCAATACACATGAATTTCTCTTGCAGAACCTGGGCGATCCTTGCGGAGGACCTTTTAATTCTTACGGAACCTGCGGAATCGATCTAGTTTGCGACTTGGGGGATTTTCCACCTAACGAAGATCCACGTGATTACGCCGATGCTCCTATCGGGAAATGCATCGTGGGTAGAAGAATGACAACTACCACTTCCACTCCCGACTTTACCGTTCCCGACATACTTCAATGAAAGTGGACAATATAATGGAGCGGGTGTCATTATTCTGTTTATATTATTCATCGAGCGTGTTGTAATTTTATTATTGCATTAGTAAGATGTCTGTATTGGAGTAATGTAATAAAAAAAATCATAATGTATAAATAAATATACTGTATTAACTAATACACTATTCATTAGTTTAGTAATGGCTTAGTTCTTATTAGTAAACAAGGACCAGATGTAAGTGTAAAGTCTAGTGTATAAACCAACGACATAATTACTATATCCAGAATCGGTTGAAAGTTAACGTAGAAACTAGCGCCGACGTTTGAAGTCAAAGAAAATTGGCGCCGCCATGACTGTCTAAGGCAGAAAGTGCCTATGCCGCAGAGGTTGTTGTATGTCGACTTACGGTAGCTATTTCTAGCGTAATTGCTATTTATTTAGACTCGACTGTACGGGAATTGTCATAAATTAGATATAGGCCTAGTTAATCTGGCACTATATCGTGGGTTGGCGATCAAAATCTCGTAACTCCTTCTGAAGAAATTTTTCTAGAGAAACATTAAAGTTCCTTCAGAAATCCTACGTTGAGTTTTATTTTTTACTTATGTATTGAATTAAGTTCGAAAGTTTTATTACGAGAGTTTTATAGATCAGGAAACGTGTTTCGTTATCCATAAATGCTGTAATTCAAACTTGAACATATATTAAAGTTACGGGGTTTTGATCGCTGACCGATGATATATGGTACCCCTTTTTTGTACGTAAAACGAACACACAATGGATATTTTCTTGACGGACTTCTTAAAAATAAGCAATACTTCGTTCGGTGGTTGACATCGATACGCCGTGACGACCAAGCAATAATAAGAGTTTTTTGCAGTCAGCACTTTGAACCTAACTGTTTTTACACAAAGAACGAATACATCTATTTGCATGAAACATCGGTTCCTACAAAGTTTGATTTTCCTCGGCATCTATAGAGACGGTCAGTAGTGCCACGGAGACCACTAAAGCAAACATCTTTGGCTAACATATGATGAATAGAGTGTGCAGTAGCAAGATGAAGCTCAAATGCCTGACCCACCATAATCAGGCGCATGGTGGTGTTATCATAAGACACGTGTACACGATTCTACAATATTTAATAATCCAGAATTATGTCTAAAATTTGAGAATAGAGTTACTCCTAAGCTTGGTTGGACTTTCTACGGATTGTATTGTATTGTATTGGATTAGTGGAATAAGGTTAATCATTAGATCCTATTTCCATGAATTAATAACAATGTTATTTGTTTAGTGTTTTTTAAGGTTAAAGCCTTAATGTGTTCCACATATAATAAGTTATGTTTTTATTCGATTTTTCAAATAATTTTTCTGTTTCGTATAACAAGACGTAGAGCGTCTTGGACAGAGCAAGCATTTCTGAGTTTACACGCGAGGCATCAATTATATAAAGAATAAAAATTATTATTATTTATTTTTTAAGTAATTATTTCGACGTGAAAAAACCAATAATTTAAAATTAATACATACAGTATTTTACGTATTTATAATTAAATTAATTAAATTTATAGGCATAAAAGTTTAGTTTAAATTTCGAAAATCAGATGGCGCTGTATAGAATCTTATTTTAATGATGCCAGATGTAAATAATTGTGTGTATATTTTAAATATTGGAATTTTGACATTTTTAATATTAGATTTTTTCTTTTTAAAATTAAAATAGATTAAGTATTTTACACTTAAATTAATTAATTTATATAATATAATCCTAAATATAAAAATTACGTCAACAATTGTCATTTATGATTAGTCGAGAGCATGTCACGTGATAACTGGAAGCCATTTTTTTCTGTTCGAATGCTGGCTAAAGGTCATTGTTGTTAGTGTATTAAATCTTGTTCCTTAATTATTGTTCCGTAATATTCAAAATCACATTTCTCTGTTTATATTTTTTACTTACACGAGCAAATAACTGATGCAATATAAATAAAGTGAATTATTATGTATCCATATTTAATATAAATTTCATCTGTTTTATTAAACTGAAAGCGATATTAATACTTTTATTTATTTTCTTCATTTAATAGGTATAACTTTAACGAAAGTTTTACATTACGTAGACACAGAACAGATGATAACTTGTGTGACGTCTGACGTTTTGCAACTTCCTGTTACGTATGTTACGTGAGCGGAAACGTTACTGACAGCCTGTATTTAACATCTCCTAAGTTATAAGCATGCAGTCACGGTGGAAAACGGATTTTTATAAAGATGTTGTATGATTTGAGCAGGGATTTTTTTTTGGCAAGGGATTTTTTTTTTTGGCATCTTACCTTAAACAATTGGAAAACAAATAAACCTTCACTGAAGATTAGAAATTGGAGAGTTTTGGGTATGATGTTCAGTCATTTATCGTGACATCACAATCCACAATCGTATAGATCTTCGTACAGAAGGTATTCTAGAAGTTACCAGACATCGCGAATAGATCTTGAAACCATTTATGCTTATGAAGGATAATGAAGAGTAGGCTAATGTTATGCTTGATGGATTAACATGTCATAAGTAAAATCATAATCCGTATAGATTGGCAACACGTATTACCCTGTTTAAATCCCATTGAACACATTTAGAGCATTGTAGAAAGACTCATCTGTTAAGTCGCTCAAGCCATACTCGAAAGCCTTATATACAGCATGCCAAATTATTGTATTGTCATTCGAGGTGATCACAAAACTTATTGACTTTTAAACATTATTTTATAGTATATCAATTGACGATAGCTACCCGATTTCGTGTTTCCTGTAATGGCGTCGTAAAACGAGCCGTTTTTTTTATATAGTTTAAATTCAATGTCATACGTTAAGATTACGTATGTGAAAATGGTATATAATACAAGGTATATAATAAAAATATGCGTTATTTTAAACAATTTATAAAGTAAAAAAGGTCTTTAAAAAATTCTATCATTTGTAAAGATGCAGTCGTAAAGCGAGGGTCTTTGATTTATCCATTAATTGAGGAAATAAAAAGTGTTATATTGTAATTTTTATAGTCACTTTTTCGTTAATATTTTAATATATTGAATAAGGCAGAAAGTGCCTATGCCGCAGAGGTTGTTGTATGTCGACTTACGGTAGCTATTTCTAGCGTAATTGCTATTTATTTAGACTCGACTGTACGGGAATTGTCATAAATTAGATATAGGCCTAGTTAATCTGGCACTATATCGTGGGTTGGCGATCAAAATCTCGTAACTCCTTCTGAAGAAATTTTTCTAGAGAAACATTAAAGTTCCTTCAGAAATCCTACGTTGAGTTTTATTTTTTACTTATGTATTGAATTAAGTTCGAAAGTTTTATTACGAGAGTTTTATAGATCAGGAAACGTGTTTCGTTATCCATAAATGCTGTAATTCAAACTTGAACATATATTAAAGTTACGGGGTTTTGATCGCTGACCGATGATATATGGTACCCCTTTTTTGTACGTAAAACGAACACACAATGGATATTTTCTTGACGGACTTCTTAAAAATAAGCAATACTTCGTTCGGTGGTTGACATCGATACGCCGTGACGACCAAGCAATAATAAGAGTTTTTTGCAGTCAGCACTTTGAACCTAACTGTTTTTACACAAAGAACGAATACATCTATTTGCATGAAACATCGGTTCCTACAAAGTTTGATTTTCCTCGGCATCTATAGAGACGGTCAGTAGTGCCACGGAGACCACTAAAGCAAACATCTTTGGCTAACATATGATGAATAGAGTGTGCAGTAGCAAGATGAAGCTCAAATGCCTGACCCACCATAATCAGGCGCATGGTGGTGTTATCATAAGACACGTGTACACGATTCTACAATATTTAATAATCCAGAATTATGTCTAAAATTTGAGAATAGAGTTACTCCTAAGCTTGGTTGGACTTTCTACGGATTGTATTGTATTGTATTGGATTAGTGGAATAAGGTTAATCATTAGATCCTATTTCCATGAATTAATAACAATGTTATTTGTTTAGTGTTTTTTAAGGTTAAAGCCTTAATGTGTTCCACATATAATAAGTTATGTTTTTATTCGATTTTTCAAATAATTTTTCTGTTTCGTATAACAAGACGTAGAGCGTCTTGGACAGAGCAAGCATTTCTGAGTTTACACGCGAGGCATCAATTATATAAAGAATAAAAATTATTATTATTTATTTTTTAAGTAATTATTTCGACGTGAAAAAACCAATAATTTAAAATTAATACATACAGTATTTTACGTATTTATAATTAAATTAATTAAATTTATAGGCATAAAAGTTTAGTTTAAATTTCGAAAATCAGATGGCGCTGTATAGAATCTTATTTTAATGATGCCAGATGTAAATAATTGTGTGTATATTTTAAATATTGGAATTTTGACATTTTTAATATTAGATTTTTTCTTTTTAAAATTAAAATAGATTAAGTATTTTACACTTAAATTAATTAATTTACATAATATAATCCTAAATATAAAAATTACGTCAACAATTGTCATTTATGATTAGTCGAGAGCATGTCACGTGATAACTGGAAGCCATTTTTTTTGTTCGAATGCTGGCTAAAGGTCATTGTTGTTAATGTATTAAATCTTTTTCCTTNTTTATAAATCTTTTATTTTATAAAAGGCAAAAAGAAAGAATTTAAATTACTTTTCCTAGTTTTGTTTAACTCGTTTTCTATTTTTATAACGAAAAGACACGTGATTTTTTGTATAGAATAGTTATTTGTATAGAATTCTTGATATTTAAGATAAGAGAGCGAGTTTTAAGTGAATTATTCTTCATAAAATTCCGAATTAAATTGTAAAAAATGTATGAAAATATTAAACATTTCTGGTCATTTAACTTAAAAGGCTAAAATATTCAGAAATCAGTTGCGTAACTTTCTCGGCAAGAGTTAAAATTGTGTGTGGCGCTATCTGTTACGATATTTCATTAAAAATGGCTTTTTATATAATTATTATTAATATAAAATGACAGAAAGCTTTATCAAAATTTTCATTTTATAAGAATTATAATCAGTAATAACGAGTAAAGTATAATCACTCTACTCGAGATATGACACATGACTCCTCTATCTCCTCATCCCTTCGACCTTTAACAACCAAAATTTAATAGCATTAATGTTTCTTACACACAAACCTCTCTGCAAAATTTCAGAAAGTTTTGACGAAAGGAAAAGGAGCTATTAAGTTTTAAATTGGGTCAACAAAACTGTCTTTCTCCCCTACATACATATACAAACATACTAACATCCATACGTACAGAAAAACCCCCAAATTTTTTTGCATTCCTCGACGTCTCGAGGTCCAGAGTCCAAAAATGTAAAATATTCTTTTAGGGGATCATTTTTCTGACCGATTTCCACCCTTCCTCTCTGTTATGTAACAGCTGGGAAAGTAAAATGCAAGAAAAAAAATATGTGTAAAAACGTGAGAATTTTCGTTTTAAATCGGTTTTTGGAGCAGTTAAATTAAAACATTTATAATATAAAATATATTTAAATTAAATTTTAATTTATTCTTTATTAAAATACAAAAAAATAGTTTAATTAATTAAAAAATAATTGCGTTTTTTCCTTGCTGATTTGCAAACACCTACAAGCATACGATCTCTTTTCACGCACTCCAATCCTCTACCGCATCTTCCAGTCCCTCCCCAAACTCCTCCGCATCTTTCGTTTAAGGACTGTAAATAATAAAATTCTGTATAATTACTGTTTAATCTTTACAGTTATTGTAATTACTCTGATAAATATATATCAAGCGTACTTACTTTAGCACATATGTAGCAACAACCGCATACATCCTTCGTTAAACCCGCTTTACAACCCACAGGATCGGAGCATTTACCCTCACAAGGAGCGCACATTAACGTACATACACTAAAATAAACACGAAAGGAGAGTGTCTTAATCACAATTAACTGGTAAAATATACAGTTAAGTGAATTATAACCCCATTAGCTTCAAGTTTAAGAGGCTCTGAACGTTCGAAAAGCACCAAATTAAGTTTAACACGCGAGGCCTCGTAGAGTGAGGTTATAAGCTTGTATGTAAATTCTACTGTTCAGTTTGTGATAATAAGCTTCTTATTCAGTTATAAATAGTAAAATATATAATAAATCTCTAAACTTACCATTGAAAAATAGCTAATAATATGAGAAAGAGTAAGGTTTTCATCTTTAACTTCTGTACTTTTGAATGTATTATTTTTCGATATATTAAAAAATACATTGCATCAATATCCTGCAGAAAATTTCTAAAGAAATTTCGTAACTTATTACGAAAACTATCGACCGAAATAAGAGTCCTACTGCGAATTTTAAGTCTCGTTAACACGTCCTAACTTTAAATAATTCCTTTCAATTAATGAAAAGGATTCTCCACGTCACTACACTAAAACACAATTACCTACAGTTTAAATTAATTTTTTTGTATATGTAAGCATAAAAAAAACTCACAATAATTAATTTAATTACATATTTTAATGTTTTAAGTAATTAAAAATTACATTAAAATTTAATTATATTTGAAAATTAATTAAATATAATTTAATTTTTTAAACATACTCGAATACCGAACCGATGGAATTACACTGGTTATAAGTTATTTAAATGATGAATTATGATAAAAATAGGTTAATTATTAACATTATTTAATAGATAAACAGTATTTTATATCGATTATTTTAATTTTTTAATCAGAAATTACATAAAAACTGAATTTTTATGCTGTTATAAATCGCGGATGCAGACTCCTTCAGCTTGCCATTTTTGATCTTCTGGTGTATTCTCTGGTTTTATACAGCTGAGTCCTTTAGCACAACGTCCAGAAGTTTCCCAAGGACCCCCACATTTCTCATTTAATGCCTAAAGTATTTAAAAAAATTAGAAAAAAAACAGAATTAAAAGTTACTTAGATCTACAAGAGAGGATGTTGTTGGAATTTATTGCTATAAGTAATTAATATCCTATTGTTTTATGATATAAATAACTGTAGATAATTCAAGGTAATCGAGAGGAAAAAANTCAGGAACGATTTTCTTGGAGGTTGACTCACTTGAACTAGACTAAACAGTTGCTCATTCGCTCAAATTTTTATTATATATAAAGTATTTTATTACAGAATTTATAAAACTATTTCATTTTTAATTTAATATAATCTGAAAAATATTTTATTTATAAATATTTAATAATAAACAGCATCATCTTTCCATTCTTGATTCTCTGGATACAGCATCATCTCTCTAATTTATCTTTCAAATGAACTACATTATTGTCTTCATAAAAGGAAAATGTTATGTGCGTTATTTAATTTCTTTTTATTTTAATTCGAGGAAACGACTTTAATTAGATTAATTAATTTTATTTCTTATACAATAACCTAGTTTTCATCATAACTGTATTCATTATATTTAACGGAACAGAACCTTTATAAATAATACTATACTTATGGGAAATTTAGCTTTAATTTACATAATAAACTTTTCTTTAAAAAAATAAGATTTATAAAGCGAACTACTCTATATAATAAGCTCAATAAATAAGCTTCACTTTACATAGCGAGTTTTGTTAATAATATTTTACACTTTTTAACTCGAATTCGTGAATTTAAAAATAAAATATTCTTTAGAAATACTTAATTATCCTTTGAATTTAAATATGTCAGAAAATATTATAAAAGGTAATTTTTTATATATATTTTATAATACATTATAGAACGTACCTGTAAATTAACGTGAAGAATATTGCTAATCGTAGCAGCTTATCCGACATTTTGAGTGCAAATAACACCGTATCGAACTGTAATTTATCTTTTACATGTACATAAATGTTTATCAAATTATCAACATTTATATACAGGTGTTATATATATTTTTAATTATATCAGAACCAGAATAACAACGTCAATGACAAAGTAACAACGAGTTCTGAAAACAGAACCAGTAAACATTTTGAAATGAATATTACAAAACAATTAATAAGATACGATAACCGTAATACATTTTTTAAACATATTTACACGTTAATAAATAAAGTTACACCCTTTTTTACATTATAATTTAACCCCATTTAGCTCCAATTCGAATATTTAAAAGTGCGCATTATACACGATATTCGGCTTTTAAATGGTATAAAAATAAAGTATATTTAATTATAGAATTTTTAAAATATCTTATTATTTAATAACAAGATTTATAAATAAATAATTAAGGATAGAAAATAAGATTTTGATATATTTATATTTAAAAAAATTTTTTTTCTCTCCCCTCTTTCTCTCTCTCTCTCTCTTTTCTTTTGGTCTTCGTAGGAAGTAATTAAAAATAATGTATTACATAATTTAATCTGGACAAAAGCCAATTGTTTGAATGAAATCACTTTCTACGAAAAAATATTAGTCACGTTTGATAAACAAGGATGTGAAAGGTTACGTGTTGAAGGTTGGAGATATCTTTTAAATGAAAAACTCAAGAAAAATAAAATGAGAAAATTCAAATTTAATTAATTAATTATTTTTTTAAACTAAATTTTCTTAATTATTTATCACTTAAAACATTTAGATTTTAAAAAGAAAATGCTCCAAAAGTTTTATTATTATTATTATTATTATTTTTCAATTTTATTAAATCCAGTTTTCTATAACTCGTTCTTTAAAAACCGGTTGAATGAAAACACATTTAAAATAATTAATAACCTTACATTTTTTATAATTAGTCTATAAATTAGAAATTAATTAAATAGAATCAATAAAAAGTTATCATAATATTTACTTGTGTAACTTCTCTCTAGACACAAATATTTATATTTTCGGAAGTTAAAATTAAATATTATATTATTTTCGATATTTTCGAGAAGTATTTATGTCTTTTATTTACAAATTTTACTAATCTAACTCCGTATTTATCTCAACTTTTCCATTTAGAATCTTTATCCTCTTATGTTACGAGGAAACAACCTCATCAGATCTTATGGGATGATGCTGAGAGGATAAAGTATAACTTATGAGAACGAAATTTTCCCTTTTGTTTTTTCCTCCTCTTCATGTTCACTTTCAAACTACTGATGTTCATAATGGAAAGCGTTATTGAAAGCGTGAGCATCTTTTCATCTTCAGCTTCATCAGATCGGAGATGAGGATGATGTAGCTGTACGCTCTTAACAGTTTTTTATGACAATGCTTAACGTTACCTAATACGAAACTATTTAGCAGAGGTTTTATTTTCATAATGCGAGTGTAAACGTTCTATTATCTGGAATAAAAATTGTATAGATCAAGTGACGTTGAGCGAGTGTTGATTAGAAAATTTCTCATATTCAAGCGTTGAATCATCCGTCTGCCAATGCGACTAGTTCTGGTTTTTCTGCTTGTTTTAGATTTTTTTTTAATGAATATTTTAACATTCTTCTCTGACAAGTAATTATTAATTTAAATATACCCTCAACGTAATATAACATTTAATTATTTTGCACGCTATTTGAAGATTCTTCCAAAGGTTCAATGTATCTTTTAAATTCAGCTCAATGAATGGTATCAATGGTAAAAATATCGTTTGCCGCAATACAATGGAAACGAAGTTATTAGCAAATTTTATTCACATACGCGACGTCGCATCCATATTAGAATGGTCGCGAAGTATCGCGTCGCTTTAACGTTTTTTTTTCCTTATTCAAATATTTTAAGCATATAAATCATTTTATAAACATTTAAACTAACTTTTATACACATTTTATTATTTTATACTCACCAAAAGTAAGGCACGAACGATAAATTTACGTTTAAATTCATAACGTATAAAATCCAACATGGTGGAAACCATACGGTAACGACAATTAAACTTCGATTATACTTATTTTAATTTAATGGAAGATCTCGCTTCGTTTTGATTATAACTTTAAAAAAAATGACCAGAATACTTTACTTTAATGCATATTTTTAAACACAGTATTTAATTTTCACAGATAAGCAAATAGGAATACAATAAACGTGGAAACAAAGGTAACAAGTGATGATAAAAGTTAATAATTTTGGCAGCATGTTCACGAAACATTAATTCCAAATAAGCTTTGTACCTTTTTTAAAGGTTTACATGTACCTTCGGGTTGAAGCGATATGTGTTTGGGACGATTTTCGGGTTTAACGCAAACTAACCCTTTGCCACAACGCCCATGCATATGCCAAGGTCCTCCACATTTGTCGTTTTCGGCCTACGAACGTGCAAATTAATTAAAAATTTAACTGAAAAATAATTAAATTTAATTAAATTTCTTCTTAACTTACCTTAGCGCAGACTTTGCAGCAACCGCAACTGTCTTCTATCAGGCCATTGGTGCAGTTTTTGGGATTCTTACACGACTTAATTAACTCTATATTGGAATGGCAAGGACAAGATAAAGCGGATATACTGAAGAAAAAACAAAAATAAAATAAATTTATGCTAAAGAATTGCATTTAAAAACATTATATTCAGTTAATTTTAATAATAAATTAATTTTATATTTAAATTTTTTCCATATTTTATGCGTAATTTTTCTTCTAAAAAAAAAAACGCATACCTGCTCCTGTGACGTTTACTGTATTAATGCATATACACGTTCGTTGTATACAGTTACACTTCGTCTATTTTTTAAATTAATTTATGACGTAATAATTTAATTATGTTACAAAGTTAATTTCATTTAAAATGTATGTAAATATCACTTTAACAATTAATTCTTTTTAATTGTTTTTACAACAATGGAACGTTACGTTGTTAGGAATACAATAAATTTCCGATTTTATTGTATTTGTCAACGTAATAAAATCAATAAATAAATACAGTAAATTGTGTAAATATTGTAAATAAATAAGTAAATAAATACAGTAAGAAATTAAATAAATTTCATAAGTATAAACACAATAAAATTCTGTAAAATAATACAGTAAATTTAAGTAGAAGATTAATTTAATTATTTATTTATTTATTAAATTATTATCGTATTTTAATACTGAATTTTTCACATAAAAGTAGTTATAATTAGGAGAATTTCATAGCAAATTTCACGTAGGAATAATAAAGGAGAAATTTTTACTCACCTCGCAACGAGTGCAAACAATACGATTAAAGTCAACATCACAATTGATCTTCCTCTAATTGACTCACTTACTTGTACGATTGTTCATCGGGTTTTAGTACATCTTACTTACTGCTTCGACCAGTTCCCAACACTTTCGTGTGACGTCACTCTTTTATTTTTCACGAAATGGAGATTCATTAACATGACGTCAAGTTGCTTTTCGAATTGTTTTCTCTAACATTGTTATTATTATAATTAGATTTTTTTAAAATGTCGATTATCTTTCGTAGATTTTTATATAATTAATATGCTTATTTGTATGGAGAGGGGGATGTTTATTTCAATTTTTTAACACCACGGGGTGGCTCAAATATCAGTTAACCGTGCGAAGGTTGGGAGTTTTTAGAAAGCAATTAAAGCTTAACAGCAATTAACTGACATTTGGGCTAAGCTATTTTTGGGAATGCCGAGTCTTTATAGTGTTTATATTTTGTATAATAATTATATTAACTTTTTAACTGTTTTTTATGAATTATTCTTATACTTATTTAAGAAATTTTGAATGCATAATTAACTAATTAGCATGTTAATGAGTTAAGAGTTAATTAACTAATTAACGAATTGGGTTGTTATTTTTTATTATTGATATAATCATTTAAAATAACCTGTCAACACCACACTTTCATTAAACATAAAAAAATCGTGATTTATAGAGATATGCCTTGAGAAAATATAAGTAAAATAAGACATTCCTCGTATTTAAGATCCTTATTCTTATTGTTCAACACACAAGATATACCTTTCTTATCTACTAATCTGTTTCTAGGAAGATCGACAGGAGAGGAAGTAGGTCGAGGTCTTCCCTATTGGGTTTCGAACTTGAATATTTCTAGTGGAAGAGTGATATTTTTCTATGCTACTACCTCGATTAATATATACAATGATCGGAATTCTAATTCAGTAATTTGATTCTGAACTGTAAAATGAATAATTCTTTATGACAAATTTCATTCGATATCCCCCGTTAGAAATCGTAAAAATTACGTGATTTTCCTTTAGTATTGAATTAAAAAAAGCATCTTACCCGATTATAGATTTATTATTATATGTTAGAGGGATAGGACTTACTTTAGGAACCATAACTAGTCTCTAAATTCAGCCTATATACGTAATGAAGGTAATATAAAGGTTGGTCTGAAGGAAAAGGGTGTATTGGAGAAGATGAATGAAGGAAGAAACTTTTCTTATCTTTCAGATTACTGTTTCATCTGTCTCTTGGCCCCCAATAGAAAAAACAGGGAGTCAAGAGAAAAGATGAAACTGTGATCTGATGGAGAAGAAGGAGGAGGATGACAGAGGCAAGAGTTGAAGGGTTTACTCTCCCTAAACCAAGAAGAAAATGGAAGGATTGTATATAGGGTGATTTATAGGAATAGGGACAACCCTTTTCCTATAAATTATCCTTTATAGATCCGACTGGAAAGAGATAAATAAAAGAAACGAATGGAGATGTTTGATAAGAAGTAGCCATCCATACAACGATGGAAATAGTTAAAGACAAAGAAGGACACGAGATAATTGTAAACGTGGGTTATTTTCAGTATTTCTACTTTGTAAACATGAAAAAAAAATTAAAAGAAAATAAAGCTCGAATAGTTTTAGATTATTTAATACAATTAAAGTAAAAACTTCACACGAAAAATATTACAATAATAATGGTAAATTTATCAATAAATGTCGAAATTATCTGATTTTATGTATATATATATATATCAGAAAACTATACCCAGAATACGAAGACAGCGCCATTTTTCCCCTTGCGATTAATATCATTGTTTATATCATGTATATACTTGACATACTTTTGTTTGTATAATTAATCAGAGGGTGATTAAATAGCACGCGATGCTACGCTACCGCCACCTGGCGTTAGAAATAGAAACTAAACGAATAAATATCGCTTGTGATAAACGAATTATTTAATAAAATACAACAGTATAGATTGTATTTGTTCACGTTTACAAAGCACAAAAATACATATTAAAATATTAAAAATATCATACACAAAGTGCTAATTTCGCACTTATTTTAATTAAAAATGATAAAATATTGTCATTTTATAATTTTGTAATACGAAATTTATGAAATAGAAAGAGAAAGGATGCTGTAAATCTCCGCTTCTTCATCCTCTTCCTCTCTGTTTCATCATTTAGGCAATGAACTATTATTGCATAATTCGACTAGAATGGATTAAAAACTCTACAGATATATAAAAAACGAATGTATTTTAAAATAAATTTAACAAAACAAATAAAATTTTAGTCAATTTAAATTAATTTTCTTTTTATGCAAAAGGATTCTTCGAAAAATATTCATTTCTTTCTTTCACTCTAAAAATAAATTTTTGAAAAATTAATAATTTTATTTTAATTATTTTATTAATTTTCTAAATAAATAATTTTAATATTTTTAAATGTATAAATATATTTTATTAGAATAAATTCTCTTTATTCATGTTGTATAGTCTCTTATAAATACCAGTTTATGTTATATTTAATTTTAAGTTTGTGAATAAATTATTCTAGAAAAATATTCAAATTAATTCACGAAATTTGAATAAAATATGAAATAAATTAATTAAAAATAAATGTAAACTAAATAAAATTGCATAAACCTATGTAAAACTATAGCTAAATTTATTGGTTTATATTCGATTTATATGAATTTCTACATTAATTTTTTTAATGTATTTTATAAAAAACTCATTAAATTATTATGTTAAATAAATAAAATAGAGTTAGAAAAAGAAAATTATTCAAAATTTACTTTGTTTTTTAGCACAGATTTCACAACAACCGCAAGGGTCTTTAGTAGTTCCATTTGGACAGTATTTTGGAGGAGGTGGACAAACATATCTGTTCTTACGACACGGACACGCTAAAGAATTTATACTGAGAAATATTTTAAAAAAATATATTACAACTTTTAGATAATTAATTAATTAATTAATTAAACTTATTGCTTAAATTAAAATTAAATAATAACGATTTAAAAATTAATTACAATTACCTTATAAAGAGGCAAGTAAGTAGGAGAATTTGGAATATAAATCTTTTCATTGTTACAAATATATTTACCTATTTTTCTTTATTTATATACCAAGTTATTAAATATTCTTGTCACGTCATTCTTTGTAATCGTATCTATTGAGAAATGATTTAAGTAAACAACTTTAAAAATATCCATTTTAGTCACGTTTTTGGTCTAAATTATTATAAATTTTAGTTATTTTTTTAAAATTTATTCTCTAAAGTATATAGAAAAACGTATACAACCGGTTCATCTTGATTAAATATTTCATAATCCACGACTTTTATATTATTATTTAACATAGTTTTATCATTAATTTTCTGTTTTTTAGTGTTTTTACATTAGAAAAGTATTCTAATTTATTATTATTTAAATAAATAAGGTATTTAAATTTATAAATTAAAGAATGTTTATATAGAAATTTAATATTTTATGATATATTTTCTTCCTCAAAAATCTAAAGGAAAGTGCATTCGTTTCAAGTTCCATTTTAATGTAATATAAACTAGAAACAGCTTTCTTATAGATTTTAAAAGTATTATTTAATTTTTATATTCAAATTATTATAAAATATTAACAAAATTGGACCATTTAATTATAAAATTTTAAAGAAATTCTCATACAAATGCTGACAATCTACAACAGATGGAAGCGAGTTAATAGCAATTTAATTCTATAAAAATTATTAAAATATGTGTTTTATTACTTAAATATACATACTTAAACCTACCTGAATGCTTTTCTTATCGTTCAACCCAGTTGACTCACTTAAGTTGCCTTCGCCACCTTTTCAGTGACGTAATTTGTTTCCAAAGTATAAATGACGTCAAGATTAACTTGTTTCGTAAGAGTTTATTAACAAAATGTCATTAAAGTTATTAAAATTAATTAATATTCTATTAAATTATGGCGTGTCGATTAATATGTAACGGTCTATTTAATGAAATATCTATTTGTAAGCCTCGTAATTATCATTATTTAGTATGATATTCACTATTAATGTGGAAGTTATGAACTGGTAAGTGCATCTGTAACTGTTATACGTTTACATTGATCGATAGGAAAATTTCTAATTANTTTATTTATACGAATAACATTGAATACATAACACCTCTATAGGAAATTGCTAGCAATCAAATATTCATAGAGGAATATAAAAAAAGAATATAAAAATAAAAAATACAGTTATTCTTCGATGTTAGAAGATATTTAAGCACCGATACATGTGCCTCCTCTTTTTAATTTCTCCAAATTTGTAAGAGAACGTGAATAAACGCATTCTAAATCATCCGCACAAATTCCATGAACGTTGAAACGACCTCCGCAACTCTCTCCAACACCCTTTAACATTTAAATTTAGTAAAAATATAAGAAAATAATACGTAAAAGAGCTTCTCGAATAGTTAATCCTATTAAACGAATATTAAAATCTTTACCTTGGCACATACTTGACAGCAATTGCAACCATCCTTAACCATTCCAAATTTGCAATTTGTGAGAGGTTTGCACGATTTTTTATCACAAGAGCAAGGTATACAATAAGAACTAAAATATTTTTTAAAATAAATTAAGTCAAGAGATGTAAATTATGTAATTATATATATATAACTTACCTCACAATGAGCCCAAAGAGAATCATAAAGCACAACATTTTCCTCCACTCTATATTTGTATATTGACTTTGTTTACTGTTCTTGAGTTCTTCTTTTATATAACAGCATTTAAGAGGTTCAAAGACCCTCTACTTTAATTTTACGATACACTCAATTACCGGAAATTTTAGTTATTGATATCGTTTAACAGAAACTATTGTTTTATTAACTCTATAAAAGTATTTTGTAAGAGTACTCTTCTGTATCATAAACACTAATATAAAATTAAACAAAAATTCTTTTATTCGTAATTTTATAGCGGGTCAATGAAATCATTAATATTAAATTATGTATTAAACTAGAACAGGGAGATGATGTTTTTATCAATATCTCTCTTCTTATAAAATAATAATAACCTAATTAATTAATTTTTTAAACTGTAAGGCTAAAATTTCATTAATTTAGAAGATGAATTTTATGTTTAATTTTTAAAATAATAAATAAAGCTTCAAATTTCAAATTTCCTTCAGAAGGTATAAATTGTATCTGTTTATTAATTTATAAAAATTAATTACACTAATACTTAGTATAAGTTAACTTTTTGATATTTTTGGTAGTGTAATAATATTTTATCATCAAATAATTATAATAAATAATGCCAAATATGGCCTCAGGAACGATTTTCTTGGAGGTTGACTCACTTGAACTAGACTAAACAGTTGCTCATTCGCTCAAATTTTTATTATATATAAAGTATTTTATTACAGAATTTATAAAACTATTTCATTTTTAATTTAATATAATCTGAAAAATATTTTATTTATAAATATTTAATAATAAACAGCATCATCTTTCCATTCTTGATTCTCTGGATACAGCATCATCTCTCTAATTTATCTTTCAAATGAACTACATTATTGTCTTCATAAAAGGAAAATGTTATGTGCGTTATTTAATTTCTTTTTATTTTAATTCGAGGAAACGACTTTAATTAGATTAATTAATTTTATTTCTTATACAATAACCTAGTTTTCATCATAACTGTATTCATTATATTTAACGGAACAGAACCTTTATAAATAATACTATACTTATGGGAAATTTAGCTTTAATTTACATAATAAACTTTTCTTTAAAAAAATAAGATTTATAAAGCGAACTACTCTATATAATAAGCTCAATAAATAAGCTTCACTTTACATAGCGAGTTTTGTTAATAATATTTTACACTTTTTAACTCGAATTCGTGAATTTAAAAATAAAATATTCTTTAGAAATACTTAATTATCCTTTGATTATCTAGAGATAACGTTGTATTATCTTTTAAAATGAAAATTCTGTTTGAAAATATACTCTAAATGATCTTAATAACTACGTCAGTCGAAACTTTCATGGAATTTTCGTACTGTAAATCGATTTATTTGAATGATCAGTGGAGAATTTTTGGAAGAAAATATGAAAATAAATTAACGAAAATGTCAAGTTATATTTCTTATCTATAACTTAAGTTGAACTTTATCCAGTTAACTGATAACAAGAGAAATGTCGGGAGAAGAAACAATTATTTTCTGCCATTTTTATTAACATAATTTACCACGAACGAGGTGAGTTTAAATCAGTTATTATGTTTTATTTACGTTTATATTTATCAAATTATGATCTATTTAGTGTAAGAGTGATCAATAAGTTATTGTGTGTACACGTTGTATACCCTTAGGCTATACAATACCCTTAGGCTATTGTAATAAGATTTCCTGATACCCAATAATTTCTATTATCTAGTGTTTAACATATAGAAGTTAGGTCGAAGGATACTAGTTTATTATAATACATACAAGTTTAATATAATGAGTAAAGCAAAAGTTTCCATAGGAAACACAGATCAGATAAAGGGATAGACGTGTTAACATTTGTATGTGCATTTAGTTACGTGGTATCTACATAGACTGTATTGTATGACTTAGAAGTGATTACATAATGAAGTTAAGTCATCTTGCCTACGTTTGAATAAACTTGTTCGTTTGTACTGTACACGCCAGCAAGTTTTTCGATGGGAAAACTGGCTCCTGGTTAGGTGTTACGAACATGAAAGTAAGCCAGAAAACACGTGGCCAGCCAGTTAGCCATGCACTAACTCACGAAAAGTACCAGTATTCTATGGTTATTGAATCTCCTTGTATTATACATACTATAGATAATATATTTATTTTAAATATACCTATTCGTAAGGTTCTTTAATAAAGTATCTATAAATTAATATATTTATGTTTCAGGTATAAAAATGCTCATCTTCCTGTTGTCACTAAAGTTTATTCTTTTATGTCCTTGTTATTCACTTAACATATTTTTTGATGATGAAGATGACGACGAGCATCCTTTATGTAAACCACCGTTCAAATGCAATTGCGAAGATACTAAAATAGACTGTTCAAATTTAAAAATTACAGACTTCGAAAGTAAATTGCAATTTTCTGAAGAAATTATCGAAGTCAATTTCCAAGGAAACGAAATTAAGAATATTCAAAAAAACTTTGCAAAAGGAACAAATTTACGTGATTTAGATTTATCATATAATAATATAAATTTCATTTCTAGTGAAGCTTTCTCTAACCTCAATCAGTTAATTCGTTTGGATTTGTCACATAATTATATATGGAACCTCGCTGTAGATGTTTTTAGTGGTGTCAAGTCTCTTAAGAAACTCGATCTTAGCTATAATAACATCCAAAATATCATTCCAAATACTTTTATGCCGACAAAGATGCTGACTGATCTGTCCTTAGAATTCAATCCATTTATGTACTTCGATAAAGATTTTTTCACATATTTACCGAAATTAGAAAACTTAAACTTACGTTATACTGGATTTAGTAGTTTGCTTCCGAAATTATTTGCTTCTAACACCAATTTGAAGTATCTATCTCTTGCTAATAACGCATTATCCTCAGTTCCATCGAGTGCTCTGAAGGACCTGAAGAGTTTAGTTGTTCTATGGTTAAACGATAATCCAATAAAATATATCAAATCTGGAGATTTTAAAGGTTTAGTTAATCTTACAAGTTTATATATAAGCAATATGGCTGAACTGAAAAATATAGAGAAATTTGCTTTCGAAGGTCTGATCAATTTGAGAATCCTTCATTGCTCCGATAATTATAAGCTCGAAGTGATCGATTCTATGGCTTTCGCTACCAATAATACGTTTCCGTTAAAGCATATAGAGATGATATATTTAAGAAATAATGCTTTAACAACATTATCGGAGAAATTATTGAATTGGAAGCGCATAACTTATACAGATTTGTCTGGAAATCCTTGGCATTGCGACTGCAAAGTTCAATGGTTAGGAAAGATACACTGGAAACACGATCTTCAATACAATATCAGGTAATTAATCTTTATTCTTTAAATTATTTAGCTCTTAAACAAACTTATAGGGTAAAATTTATCTCTGGTACTGTTGTCACTCTCCAAAGTTTATAGGACATCCTATACAAGCAGAATCATGCTGCCAAGTGTGATCCTTCATGAGATAAGGCCTTTCAAAATTCGCCTCCTGAAAAAAACAGCAAGAATTAGTACTTTTTCCTTTGTAGAAAGGTACTTAAAGTGTATTGTCAAGATAAAATTATTTGCTGTGTACAGAGCTGATGCTGTAAAATAAAACTTTTTAACAAAATTAAAATGTTTACTAAATAAATACATAAATTAAACGGCTCTTCCTAGAGAACAGTTGAAAGAAACTTTTAACAAATAAAACCAAATTTTATTTCTTTCTGATCAAACCAGAAGGATGTAATTAAACACAATATCTTGTGAAGGTTCACTGATTCCTTTGAGCATTTTTCGTTGTGTAGGGATGGCATAGAACAATGCCAATGCCCCGACAAATAAAATCTGAAGAAGTGATAGCCTTATACATATAGTGATCGAGCAAAACATTAAGACCAGGTGTCTGAATCCTTTGCTCCACTACGTACTGTACTTCTAAAACAGCCTGGAATCGTCAATACATAGGCCGAACGAAGTGTTTAAAGGTACTCTATAGTATCTGGGACTGTACAGTTACATGTAGGCATTTATTCAGGGAGTGACAGAATGGCTTTCCTTTAGAGTCTCAACAGGATTGTGATCTGTCGAATTTGATAATCAGGTTTTCACTTTAGAATGATCTTTATGTTTTGCTTCGTGTCTTTATTTAAATAATGATAAATTTAAAATTTTATAACGTATTATTATCTATTACAGGTGCTCTTCTCCATCAAATTTAGCAGGCAAGTTAGTATCAAATATACCACTAAATGATTTTGAGTGCGAAAGTCACATGAGTGCTCAACTAATAATAACATTAACCTTGATCACAGTGACTGTGTTTATAGGTGTTGTTCTAACAATAACAATCTTCCTGAATAAAAGAGGATTATGCATTACCTGCAACTCGAAATTTCAAACAAAATATCACAAGGTGTTCCAAAGAAAAGAAGACGACATCGAATACGAACCTAAAGAATAACCAAAACCCAAAATTTGCATAATTCTTTTTTAAATATTTGTATATTTTTATTAAAAAAATAATAAAAAAAATCGAAAACTAAAAAAAAACACTTGCAATTAAAAAGTATTTATTAATAAATTTTCTAAAAATATATTATATATTGAAATTCCCATTTTGGGGTGCTCCAAAAGTTATTAAAAACCGTTATAAAGACTAAATTGCTTTCTGCTTCGATACACCTCCTCCATTGTTTACAAAATTGTTTAAAATATAATTCGATGAACAAATTATAAAGCTGTGATACACTTCCAAATTGCTGGCTGAATTGTTCCCAAAACATTCGGTTAACTGTCTTTTGGACCACCCTATATTATATTTACAAGAAAAAGAAATTTTTATCATAAACCTCTTCCAAAATAATTAATCAGCTTTTATCTCGGTATTGCTACACCATTTAAATATCTTATCACTACATGAATCAGCTTTGTCAACTCTTACAAAAACATTGTCTCTATTCTTTTAGTTTTGATGTAAAAGTATTTATTATAAAGAAATAAAAGTTATTATTATTTTCTTATTTTAAAAAGCATAAAAATTTAATATTTAAAACATTATTCAAATTTTATCTTTGTTATAATTAACGTTAGACGAGTTTTTCCCCTTTGTTCATACGATACCGAGTGACGGTGTCGAATGACTTTACCTTTCTTGTCTCCAGCATTTTACATTTAATTATTTTAGAATTTTATATTTAAATTAGAGAAAAAAAATAATACATTAGAAAATTAACTTAATTTCTGTAATAAAAATGTTATAAATTGTTGAACTTTAATACCTGATTTTAGTGTTATCGTTTCTCCTTATCTGTACAAAAGATTATTCTCGCATCCAGTTGTTTTCGCAAAGGACTTTGTATCTTGCACAATAATCTGCCTTTTCTGGAAGGATCTTTTGTCAAAACGAATGGATAAATTCATCATTTATTAAAATATTCATAATTTGTAAGTATATATTTATTATATAAACTTATCTAAATATATATAATTTAGCATCAAAAACTGTTACGAAATCTTTTCACCTTTGATAATACAAATGAATTGAGACGTTTATATGTTTAATTAGAATTAAATTTCTATGCAATTAATAATAAATTAAGTTTATAGATTAATATTATATAAAATAAGCAAGTATTTTATCTAATCCTGAATAATTAAAATACAAACGGTTTCACTTGTGAAATAAAGTACAAGTCGACCCCCCTACAACACTGTTGATTATTCCGTTTTATATGAATTCCATGTTGTACCAGTCACTTAGATTTTATAAATACGTGAGCCGTTCACAGCCCGGCACACGTATTTGTAAAATCTAAGTGTCTCGTACAACATGGAATTCATATAAAACGGAATAATCAACAGTGTTATAGGGGGGTCAACTGGTAACTAAAATAATGCAACTAGATAAATAAATTCAAGAATTTTTCTTTTAATTTAAGAAGCTTTTAACAGAGAAATAAATTAATAAAAAAAAGTAAAGAGAATTGAATCTCCTACTTCCTTATTAACTTTGATTTTTATATATCTTACATATAATCATCATGACAAAGCTGCTACTTTATTGTAATTTTTAAAAAAATAATAAATATTTTTATATTTTTAAATAAATCATTAACTTTTTAAAAAATATTTTAATCTATTTAATTAATTAAATANTCTTTTTATGTGTTTTAAAATAATTTTTATTTAAAAAAAATTATATAAAATAAAAATACATAAATTATAGAATAAAAAATAATAAAATAAAATTGTATTTTTATAAATATTATTGAGAGAAATTGTAGTTTAAAGTAATTTTTATGATACCTCTACACGTTAGTCGAGTGTACAGATGCGATCGAATGATTCATCTGTTTTATACCTTTAACACATGTAACTGTATCGAGAATTTCGTTCGTAATTTATCAATGTAGTAAGCTTTATATATATATATATATATTTATTGTCATTTTTATCATTTATTTTAGAGCTTTTCAATTCGTGTTATTAACGAGTGTCTTTGTTTGCCATTCAATGTCAATCGTTTGTTATAGTTATAGCATTTCTCAACCTCTTCTTGTCTGTTAAGACCTTGACATATAATTCGTGACTCTACTAGAACCCGCGATCGACTTGTTGAGATATTTTAATATAGATTTTAAAAACTGACTTATACGTTCGTTTGTCTGTCTAACGAATGAAATTATTGGAAAATTATTTTCTATTTTATTAATATTTATATATATATGTAGAATACGTTATAGAGCTTTAAATGTGTTTCGAATTGTTTACAGTTTGGTGATAACGTGGAGAAAATACTATTTTTTTAAGTGCAATTAACGTATTGGAGTACATGTAAAGAGTAAGTAGTCAGTTCACATGTACTCGAATGTTAACTACTTTAATTAATAACGTTAGATTTGATGTAATTTATAATTTAAATTTTAACTCACTTTCTATTAAATTAACAAAGATTTTTTTAAATATATTTTTCATTCAGATTAATCAAGAGAGGTCCAAATAAATCATGTTGTATGAATTTATCGTCGTGTCATTACTTGTTACAATATATAGATCGGGTGTAAGTGCCGAAAATCTGTGTGATTCCTGCAAATGCACGGAGCATGATGCAGATTCTCAAATGGTGAATATCAACTGCGAGTATAGGCAATTTCAAAGCATACCACCCATGGAATCGTGGCCTGTGAATCCTTACAGACTGGACTTAAGTCACAACAACATCACCGTGTTAGATTCCCTAGAAGATAACTACATCATCAAAGAATTAGATTTGGATTTCGTGAACTTGGAATCCATTAAATCCAACGTATTTCAGAGTTATCCCAAATTAGAATATTTGGATTTAAGTCAGAATCTTCTTACAACATTAGATAAGGACATTTTTACGGGATTAGAAAATTTATTAACGTTAAACTTCAGTTATAATAACATAAAATTGTTGCCAAAAGGCATATTCGATCCTCTAGTGAAGCTTCAAGTTTTGAGAATGTCGGGAAATCCTCTACGTTATTTATCACAGGATATCTTTATGCCACTGCTTTGTGTTAATTATATGGATCTATCTGATATCAGAGCTCATAGTTTACCAGATGGAATATTTCATACGTTAGATAAACTCGAATATCTTGATCTGTCGAAGAACGACTTTGATAAAGTACCATCCAGCGCTCTAAGAAGCTCGACTAATTTAAAACAATTATATCTCAGTGAAAATAAATTTATAAAACTGAATAAAGATTCTTTCACATATTTAACTAAATTGGAATTATTGGATTTAAGCGAAATGCCGAAATTGAAAAAAGTTGAGGAATTCACTTTTTCCCCGTTGAGTTCGTTGAAAACATTAAAAATGTCATCAAATGCACAGCTTCAGTACATCGATCCTTCTGCATTTGATGGGATTTATAACCCCGCACAAATTTCTAGTCTTAATTTAAAAGTCGTCAAATTAAGAAGCAATGCCTTATCTACTTTAAACAGTAATATGTTACCTTGGCACGCAATTCCTACTTTGGATCTTCAAGGAAATCATTGGTATTGTAATTGCTACCTAGCTTGGATCGTTAACTGCAGCATTCCAGCCGAATTAACTACAGATTTCAGGTAAATTTCTATCAATAACAAGTTTTATGCAAAGTGATTCAAAAATAATAACACTTTGTATAAGTTTGCCTGAGTTATTCAAATAACAACGCTTTGCAAACGTTGTTAATTGAATAACACCGATGTGGCAACCAAACTAAACTTACAACAACTAACAAGTTATTTGATATAATTGCATAAAATCCATCGAATTCTCATGCTTAAGAATTTATGATCTCCTTAGAGGTTCCGTTACGAATAATTATAAAAGAATGTTGTATGGAAGCAAAGAAACGACGAATTAAATCGTCATGTTAAAGGTATTTCCAGTTGTAATGATGATATCTTCTATAAATCTTAATGTAAAAGCTTGATATACCTATACAGAAGATCATTAGACCTCTATACAAAGTAACAACCTAATATCAAGCTGACTCCAAATTTAGCTAGATTCTAAGTTAAAATATGCCCTACGAGAGTTATTATTTTATGAATCACTTATATATGTAATGTTCTACGTTTTCTCAATGATTATTTGTTCTAGGTGCTATGGTCCCAAGCCCAATCAAGGGAAGTTAGTGACGGATCTAAGAGAAGAAGAATTCATCTGTTTGCATGAAGCACCCTCGCAATATTCGGAAACTGCCATAAGGACTATTGCTGCTTTAGTAGGTTTGGCATCGATTCTACTAATAGTAATTATTGGTATATTAATACTTAAGCGGAAATACATCCGATCTTGGTGGATATACCGGAAACGTGGCACTGGAGCCGTATACTATGTCAAAGCGCAGACAAATCCCAATGATGCTATTGATTTATAGACAATATTCTATTATGAAACTTTTTGTACATAATCTTTCATTAAGTTAAAGAGTATAAAGTATCGGTGCATAAACCTGAAAATATTATTTTTATTCCCAAAGCTTTCGTTATTGTTAAAGTATTGTGGCATACATTCTTAATGTAAAGCTTTTAAATAAAATCATTTTCTATTTGTTATTTACGATTTTAAAAACAATTTTTAATGAAAATTACTGGAAAGACAATTAGATATTTAATTAAATATCTAATTTATGTACATTATTTCTAATATGCGTAAGGTTTAGAAAGCTTTCGAGTGCTTCATATAAAACATACGAGAAATACTCGAGGTTAAGTAGGTTTTTCTTGTTAGATTTTATTGGAATAAAAACAATTCTACAATAAATTTATAAATTGGATAAAAGATTTTAAACTTTAAATCAAAATTTCTCCAAACTATAAATAAATTAACGTAAACATATGCGTCAATGATTTCAATGACTAATTTCTCAACTTACAGTCTGGAGGATGCAGAAATTTATAAAAAAAAGCTTCATAAAATTTGTATAAATTTAAATTAAATAATTTTATAATAATAATTAAATTTAATTATTATTGTTGCTAATTCAATGAGGGTTGCTTAATGTAGAGTACACACCGGATGCTGATAACTCTGGTAGTATGTGTGTGTGGCAACGGAGATAAAGGAACTTTAAACACATAAAAATGAGATAATAATGAAATAAATGTGTTTAATTTTAAAACTAAATATAATTTTTAAATAATTTTAATAAGAATTTTTCGATAATAATTCATATTCTGTTGGAGAATCTTATGTTATAAAATGTATTTCTATACACATAAGTAAGATAATTATTGCCTAATGTTTACGTTAAACAAATAATAAATTCGATGCAATTTAAAGATAAAATATTATTATGTTTATGACTGAATTTAGTATATGCAATTTAGAATTATATAAATATATACATGTACTCTAGAAGTTTCAATGCCAAGATCTCTCATCGTTTCGTGACTCTCGCCTCTCATTTTTTATTTATAGCAATTATTTATATGTAATATTAGTTAAAATAACTATAAATAATATATAAATCTATCATATTAGAAGATTTAATAAAGAAATTACTTGATAGTACAGGGAAACGAACTGCTGTACTTTATAATGATGAGAGAAAAGTTTGTTAAAAAGTTTTCTTCAAAAACAGGCAGATAGCGCTTTATATGTTTGGTTCGCACGCTATCCTCTGATACATTTAAATAGCCATAGAAATATAATCCAGATAAAGACAAACTATTTTTTAAATAATTTATTAACTTTAAACTCTCTTTTGGAGGAATGCAAGTATCGTCTTTCGCGAAGGGGGTGACATTAGAATTTGGAATAACGGTCCGAATGAGGCTGTTACGCTCGTTTGCATAATAAGGTTGATAAAAGGCAAGGAAAACTTTCTGTGTTAGAGAGAAAATCAGAAGCGAAGGATTCTAGTTCGGTTCTGCCTTCGAGTCTCATTCTCCATTCCAGGAAAACCTTTCCTTTTTCATCAAAGTTCGGCCCGAATCGACAAGATAGAAAGGTGTTACGAGGACAAGAGGGGGCGACCGGGAACAACAGAACATCGTCCCCTTCTGTTCCTTTTCTGGTACATTACGGATCAAGTGAAGGTTTCTTTTTTCTTCATCGTATGGTCGAGTAACAAATGATTTGATCCGCGATTCATTTGTAAAAGTTTAAAAGTCGTATTAATGATTTTTTCTTCTCTTTTGTAAATAAGGCTGTCCTTCTACTAATTAGTCTCGTAACTTCGTTCATCAACTTTGCTCCTGAGACTCGAGCTCCTTTATTACTTTCTATAATACGGTTGGTATGCAATACGAACTTAAAAAACAGCAAACCGCAGGTAAGTGCCTAAGAAGCTAACATCCAGTAACATTTATGCACAACATGACATCGCATATACAACGTAAGCATTCTATTGCTATTAGATATCGATCCTTCGGAATTATCGAAAGTATTTAAGACTTCGACCCCTGAATTTTAGAGTAATTTTTATCGCCCGATCATCAAATACGCGATCAGCAAGATCCGATCTTCTGTAAATTTACAAAATTATATCTAAAACAATTTAAATGATTATAATTTTCAATTTTATTTCATTTTTAAGTACATATTTCGTATTTTATTCATTGTAAGATTAGATATTCTCCAATTTCAAAGATTTACGCTTAGTCGGTGTCTCTAACACAAGTACCACTGTCCAAAGTACCCGGGTAATCTTCGTCACTTACTTCGTTTCCGTCGTCAGTTTGGCATCTTAATCCGGCTCCGCATTTTCCTGAAGTAAACCAAGGTCCTCCACACACTTCACCTAAGGCCTGAAAAATGTAATTACGTTTCAGATCAGAATTAGTATACGATTTCATTTTTTAGTGCTTGAAAATTCGCGTAATTGTCGGTCTAAATCCAATTTTTTCAATTGCTAGATTCGACCAGAAATAGGATCAGTCAACGAGTATGAGGAATGAACAAGGAAATACTTTATGACAAATTATAAAAATCCAAATAGCATTTTAATAAAGGATTGAAGAATCCTACAATAAGACAAAACGTTATGATTTAACTATCTGGTCCATGTATAAGTTTACGAATTTATACGAAAAATCCCAGAACGTGTCTGTGTATTACACTGTACAACGGCACATACTTTTTGGGGTTTAGAATTTTATTGCTGAGCCCTTAATTTAAAAAAAATATATTTTTTTTAAGATCCCAAACCCTTATTTGCTTTCCCTATTGATTAAAAAGCACAAGAAACATTTTTAAGTTAGTCTACTCGATACTTCCCAAACACTAATACAGAGTCAGGATCCGCACATAAGGTATAATATTTACCTTTTCACATTCTTGGCAGCATCCACAAGAATCGAGAGTTAAACCAAGAGGACATGTCGAAATGTCTGGACAATATTCCTTTAATTGCTTTTCTGTCCATTCCCAGCAAGGACATGACAGAGCGTACAGACTAGAAAGAAATTCATCTTTAGGTAATTTTTATAAGTTTATATATAAAATATGGTGTAAATATTTAAATGGGCTTACCTTCCTATCAAGGAGAGTAAAATTACAAAGCGCAACATTTTAATTTCAACTGTTAAGTGAAGAAAACTTGCAAAAGTTACATTTATCTCTGTTAACATCCTGTTTCTCTTCTAATTGGATTTCCTGTTAAAAAAATCCAGATAGGCATATTTTTTAATTTTTAATTTCAGTAGGATGCAAGAAAAATAATTTATAAAATATAATTACTAATAAATAAATATTAAATAATTATTTGCAATTACTAAAAAAGCAATTATCTTACAATTACAAATACTCTAAACTATGGTAAATTATACTCGTGAATTAAATTCGTTTCTAATATTAGAATTTTCATTTCTAATTTGAATTTTGCCAACTTTTATATCTTAATACAAGTGTTTGTTACTTATAAGTGTTTAATTGGGGCATTTTGACTTGATGTTGTAAAGTACAGTGGAACCTCGGTATACGTCTGCTTTAGAATACGTCCAATTCGGAATACGTCCTGTTTGGACGAAACAAATTTTGCTCGGTATACGACTTTTCTTCGGTATACGACTTAATTCAATTATAAGCGCCATCTATGAACAAGTTGCACTATCGGTGTACTAGACCAGATTAGACGTTCGCGGTGCCACGGTTTATAACTTTGTTAAATTTTTTCTGATTTTAATTTGTAAGTAACATTTTATTATTTTTATTAATCATGAATTGCAAAAAAGGCAACAGAAAAATAAAAAAATGACAATAGAACTGAAAAAAGAGTTTGCTGAGAAATATAAAGGTGGCACGTGTGTTCGAGATTTAACTGTTGCATTCCGTATTCCGAGAACGACGATATCGACAATCGTGAAAAATAAAGACATTATTAAATCTGCTAACGTTGCGAAAGGGGTTAAATCAATTTCTAAACAGAGATCGAAGAAATTAGATCATGTCGAGAAATTGCTTTTACTTTGGATAACTGAAAAACAGTGCGCTGGCGACAGCGTATTGGAAGAAATTTTTTGCAAGAAAGATGAAAGGATACATGCTGATCTCATGAAAAATCAAGCAGAAACCAGCCAGGAAAGCGAGGTGTTTAAAGCCAGCCATTTTTTTTTACATGAGAACGGATTAATCATTTTTACATTACTTCTTATGGAAAAAGTTGGTTTGGTATACGTCCTATTCGGTATAAGTCCAAACACCAGGAACGGATTAAGGTCGTATACCGAGGTTGCACTGTATTATAATTTTCTTCTGTTTAAAATAACAAGAAGTAAGTGTGTGTTGGCGTGCATTTCGTTTAATATCTCTAAATTGGATAATGATTAAATAACGAAATTTGGTTTGGTAGTTTGTATATAAGGGACATTGCTTGTATTCAATTTTGGTGGTTAAAGGTCGAGGAGATTGGAAGAGAAACATAGTAACGTGTCATATCTCGAGAGGAATACAACTAAATAAAGAATTTTACTTGTTATTAGCATTTACAATTTAAAAAAAAAAATAAAACTTGTCTTTATCTACCTTTTTGTCAAATTATAACGATTAATAATATAAAAAGCTTTCGAAACAAAATATGATAACAGATGGCGCCACACACAATTTTATTTATTACTAGCTGCAATGATTCGCTTCGCTGGGTTTTTATTTGTATGTAACATAGTTTTTTATAGACTGTATATAAAAGACTGTTTTTCCAAGTAATCTAGAATCTAGCTGCAAAGACCCGCTTCGCTAGACAAAAAGTAACGATAGTGAAGATTAAGATAATTACATTATAGCTAATCTTACCCGTTTTCACAGAATGCAAGAATTAGGTCCACCGTTTCCAGACTAATTAGAGAATTTTTACGTCCAGTCAAACGAACTATTTTCAATTTGGTGAATTTTCCGGAACGTTTACAATCGTTCTATAATCGAACCAATTCGAATTTAAATTCGAATTCGAATTGGTTCGATTATAGAACGATTGTAAACGAATTTAAATTCGAATTCGAATTCCAAAATTTTTAAAATCGAAATATAAAATCTTCCACTTTCAACCACTTTCAGCCTCATATCTCCCGCACCCTTATAGCTATCGAGACGCAACCACCATAGTGCACGAATGGTGACTTGGGGCTACTACCACATACAAACACCATTCATGTGCGATGTGTAGTTTTGGCTGAAAAGTGAAATATAGGGACATACATGTCCATATATATATATATATATAGATAGATAGATATAGATATAGATATAGATATAGATTATTAATTAATATAATATACAGCCCTTATTACGCTTAGCTTTTTTTTTATTATATAAGCCTCTAAATTGAAGTATTTTCCTTTGGCCGTCCATACCGCGTGTTTTAGGCATCCATTATTATAATCGGGATACTTCTTGTCGTAGATACATGAATACTTTCGGATGTTTTCGATAAATCTTTCCAGATCTATTCTAGAGTAGCCACGAGAGAACATACACAAAAGCTCGTTTTCCGCCATTTTCGCACCGTGTCGCAATGACCTAGATTTCACTGACTTTCGATTAGTGCAGTGATGGGCAAACTTTTTAAAGAGCGGGCCAAAGGAAAAGAAGAACACTTTAGGCGGGCCAATATAATTGTAACCTAGCGCTGCATCTGAAAATCCAGGTGGCGCTATAAAAACATGTGCAGGCCGTCCGCCATATTTCTTTTTCTCTCTTTCGGCTACGCTACGCACGACGAGTGGATGTTCTGTACCGAAGCATGCTTGTAACCGATCGAGCTTTTACTCAATAAGTGTAAAACAAAATTTTGTACATGATTGTAAATAAACTTTCATGGTGAGATATAAAGCTTCGGTTATTTTATATAATCAACGAACACTCAAGT